CTCTCTCTCTCTCTCTCTCTCTCTATCGATGCTCTATAAATTCTTTATTCTCAGGAACGTAACGCGCGCGCACGCGCTATATTTCCTATAAACATAAATCGCGAAGGTTTGTAAGTTATACTTTGGCTGTAACATGCAAGGTTAAAGCTCTCGTAAAAAAAGTTTCGAATAAAAACATCAATTTCATTTAATTCAAAAATGTTGAAAGATACAATAAACGTGCCGTTGATTTTTAAGTATTATTTACGAGTTGTTGCCCTCTTGTGATAATACTACAACGCAAAATTTTCACCCTACTGTAAACTTATGCAACATAACTCAACGCGTAATAGTACCGTTGTATTACAACGCGGGAGAACTTCCAATGTCCAAACTTCAAGAGTACAACTGTACTGTACAGAAACAAGCAACTAATTAGAATTGCTAATTTTAACATTGATATAATATGATCATTTACTTAATAATAAGTCCATTTATTTATTTTTTGTATTTGTATAAAGATATTGTATATAATCATACACATTATATATATATATATATATATATATACAAGAAAAGAAATACATTTTTTGATAAATGATAAATCTAAGAAAATCCGGAAAGAGACGTTACATTTTTATAAGACGTATTTACGTAAGCCAGACATTTCATTGGTGGACGACCTATTGTACAATAGAAAATAACAAAGAGAAACTTGAAGGAAGATGTTATATGTCAGAAAAAGAAGACATATATTTCATATATAGCATATATATAATATTTGAGAAAGATCCTTCACGGATGATGTTCGCAGAATACCGCCATATATACGCGAGCGCGCTAAGATAGAACGCATAGAGAAGAACACATAAACCTTATGCGATGCTTAATCTTTACGTGTGTACTGCGCCGTCGCTTTTTTTCTTATTGTAAAACCCGCATCAGCGGTAGTTCACAAAAGAATGGAAATAGGACATCGCACGCGACGTCATCAATGCTACCCTCTTTCATTAGAGCACCACAATGCTGTTTGCCGCCTCCATTGTCGGGTTGTCCACCCCACTTATCGCTCCACCTGGTATAACCGGTTTTCGCCAACGAATCGCCCAATACCGTGACCCACTCGCCTTCTGCATAAAGGTCGTGTATACCTAAGAAGGCCTCGTCAGGATATACCGCGCCCTTGATCGGTCCAGAGCGATTAAATATGTCCATCAGTATCTGAAAGATTGACAGATTGCACAGCGTGTAACGTTAATTGGACCGATAATTATATACGTCCTTATAATCGTTATTAACATCACGTCTTCTACACGTCTCAGAAATTATTTGGTCAAAGAATATTTAAAAAAAAAACATCAATTGTGTATCACGTAATCAATAATACTTCGCAATGAGATTGAAGACTCACATGTTCCTCGGCAATGGAATTGATGATAGCGAGGTGGCCACCCTCATCGTTACACAACTTCCTCGCGTCATTCCACGTGGCGGCCCTCGTGTGCAACTTATGCGCGCCGATACCCACCGCGTAACGGTAATCATCCCTCATCGGGGCGTTGTGCATGGCTACATTGCACGAGCACATCATGCCGTGCAGCATCACGTTCTGAGTGTAGAACTGCTCAAGACGCTGCCGCGTCATCCAGTCCGATTGTCCGGGGATCGTCGAGCTATTGACCGATGTCAAGCACGGGCAGGCGGATTCCGGATTATTGATGCTCGCGGCCGCGTCCTGTGCGCCCCCGTTCAGATTCGCGGAGGTCGTCTGTTCGGGGAAGCCGTATCCATTCGTTGGTGCCGTTGCAGGTGCAGCCGAGACAAACGACTCCTCGCGAACACCAAGCAGCGCGATGCAACCGACGAGTAAGAAGTACACCATCATTCTTCCCGCGAATTTCGTCGCTTCTCGAAGATTAGCCTTGCAAAGTACTCCACCGAGATCTGCGGCCGAACAGTTGTCAAGTTAGCAGATAAAATAGAGTCTCTTTTGAAAAAAGAGGATAATGTTGGAGACTATTTGTATTTAATAACGATACAAATTTATAACTAATAATAATAGAAAATCTATGAATTACTTCGAGGCAAATTAGTTTTCGTCGCTGTTTCAAAAAAAATTCATTTATAAATATTTTTTCAAACAATCTACTATCAGAGAAAATAGAAATTTATTTTTAATGGACAACGAAGGAAAACTGTTTGATGATAATAAAAACGGCATGAAAGAGATTAATGATTAAAGTGAGATACCGCTCAGATAAAATAAGTCTTAGAATTATCGCGATAATACAAAAATTTAATGCAAGATAAATTGTATAATAAATTTTGAAGAATATATATATGAAGAGTTGTATGCACGTATAAAAATGTTAGCACCTTGTTTTAAAAATTATACGTAAAATTCACAAAAAAGTCTTAAAGTTTGAAAGAAAATCGAAGGTTCACTTAAGATTTCTAATTTATCTGGCTAGTGTTCGTTCTTGAAAACTGTACGACGAAACATGTGCGCACCACGCAGGGATCAAAGAAGAACTGAGGCTTCCTTGTATTGTCAGCGCGCCCCTACGTTTCTTACCCGACTGCTCGGCATACCAAGACAGGCTAAATGACCCGCCCAAAAAGACTACAGCGTTCTATCATCAGCAATCGTTCAAGGACCGACAACAGTGGCTCGCAAACGGTGGCCTTCTGCTAATTTACATCTGTTTGCAAGATCAGGCTAAAACGAATATTCGAGAAAGTTGAGAAGAATAATTTATGTTCTCAGCTAACAAATATTTTTTTAACAAAAGAAATATCCTAAATAAGAAAATTCTTTCTATGCTATAAGATGATTTGAGAAAGTTATTCAAAAATAAAATTGAGCAAAATTTTTAATCTATATTTTCTTCTTCATTTTTTCTTTTATCAACTCATTTTTTTAATAAAGAGAAAGGACATTTTAAATATAGTTATAAATATTACAAAACTGATATATATTTTTGGATATTATTTGAAACTGTCAGGTATTTCTTAAGAGAGTCACTGCTCTATTTCAGCAACTGATAAAACATTCTCCGCCTTCTCATCCTGACTCTCATTTCAAAATATTATTATATAATATATATTATAATTTACATTTAATGTATAACATTAAACTAAATTTAACATATTAAAATGGTATATTAAAATGCAGCAATTTTCATTAATATTAAAATTTTTGCGAATAACTTTTTAATCTTTTTATAAGGGTAAAATTTATCAGGATATTCATTATTTTACAATAACAAAAACGATATCTGTCGATGTACAGTGTTTACAGTGGTGTTTGTTATTCAATATCATGCTAACCACGTTTTGTATCGTAGTCAATGTGTTTTCGCATCTCGGTGAAAATTGTATGCGCTTGCATACGATATCTTGCAATTCGTACACAAGTGCCATTCTTAACGGTAAATTTCCGAGTGCCGTATGTATAAAATATAGACCAACCACGCGCTCGAAGTTAATCGGAAGATTTAAGATGGGCCAACCTCTACCGTGTAAACGTCTCCGGAATATAGCACTGTAAATTTCCAGGCATACCGAATCGCAGTGATTTCTCTCTCCTTTCCCTTCTCTTTCTTTTCGCGGCATATATCGGAAGAGCTGGTAGCTCCGAGTGGATTAGAAGAACATAAATTACGAACAGTTAGATAATTGGAAAAAGTATAACTTCCTCGTCGGTATTAAACGGGATTGTGGATTTCGGACAGGCGGAACAATGTGCCATTGTGGTACAGTATGAAATTTGCCTTATCCATAGAGAAATGAAAATTTATATTTTGTTGTACGTAAATTTTCTGTAATTTTCTATAATTTTCTGCCATTATATTCTGTAACATTTTCTTTAGTTTTATAATTATTTAAATATATCAATCTGAAATTTTTGAAAAGATACATTGTACCTATTAGAATGTGAATGTTTTTGATGCCAAAATAACTGTAACATAATCACTTAATAGATACATCGTCTTAATTATTATGTTTACATGCAACGAGCGAAAATAAAAATATTTTTATTTTCATTGTTAATAAACCGAAGTAGATATGATCTCTGTCTTTGAAAAAGAATGATGTAGTTCTATATTGTATCGCATTCAATTACCTTTCATGTTTTTATGAATCCATTGTTCGTAGAGTATTCCTTCTTGATTCACTCCAAGAAACAATAACGATAAAGTAAACAATGTAAAAGAATAAACCTGACAGCGAGCTGATCTAATTTTTGATATATCTACTTTTCAGATGCGACTAAAGCCCTGCCTCGTAACCTTCTATCTCCTGTTGCTTTCGATCGTCTCGACCTATATTGCCCCTGCACTCGGTTCTGATATACTTCGTTACAAGGTAAGCACTGTGTATACATTTATTAACATTAATGTTATATACTTTTATCAAATTGCAAAACTACTTTGTTGTTTTATTATTTATTAAACAAAGTTATACGTATATGATTTCTAAAAGATAATTATAAGACGTATATACATATTTATCTTGTATATCGTACATGATATATTTATTTCCTTGAAACAGACTTTTTTTTTAAATCAGAGTCATCTTAAAATCATCTTAATTAAACCAGTCTTGATAGAAAGATTGAAGACTTAAACGATTCTTAGATCGGAAAGCAATTTAGTAATCGAAATTAGCAAGACTTTTTCACGTCCACGTCTTCAAACTTAAATTGAACATAATTGCTGCAATTAGTTTTAATTAATTTTCTTGCCTTTTCTTATAATCGATTTTTGATAATTGTCTCTTTAGCCAAAATAAACGTGCGGCGCAGTGAACGCGGTGAATCTCATAGGAAAAATGAATAATTGATACTGCGTTTAAACTTTGCATCTGAAATAAACTCACATATAAACGAGATTGAACGCAAGATTAATGGTTGAAATTAGGTTTCCTCCGGAAAGCTTTTCAGCGCTCGTTTCAATTTCAAGTCGCGACACAACTTATCGCCCGATTATACAAATCCCTCACGTCTTCGCTGTATCCTCTCTCTCTCTCTCTCTCTCTCTGTATTCCCTCTCTTTCTGTTGCTCACGAACATTATTACTCGTATAAACCTTCGTCTGAAAGCTGATGACCGCTAGACGAGTACTCTCCTTACAGCAGATCCCCTTGGCTACGCTCCAAGGAAGGGACTTCTCGCGTAACTCTCATCACCCGATAGTGGCCGTAATCTGTACCCTCCCGGTATCTGTGTACATTTATCTGTGTGTACATTGACATTGCATCGTATTTACCTGAGCAAGATCGACCGTCGCGATGCACTCGACGTGGCTGGGTTGACTCGATCCGGAAACCAGCGAGCCCGCGTAACCGTCTCTCGCGCGCGCGGTCCACTTCCGGCGACTTGAAGTAATTCAAATTGTCGACGACAAATAATTCACGAGATGCTTTGAATATTTTGAAGTCTTCATGGGCCATAAAGAATGTAACGCGACTTGCTAAAGATAATCGATTTGAGATTCCCCGGCTTCCAGTTGTGCGTATATGGGATTACATCGTTAAAAAAAAGTTATCTCGTTGCGCGCGCGCGATATCGTTACATCGTTATACGCTATTCTTGTAAAATATTTCGACGTAATACCTCTGACGTGTGATATTCGTTATTTTCAGCGCTCGAGACATCGTTATTTTACGGTGGACAACAATGGCGTGTCGTCGGGCACCGGGAGTCCTCCGTCCACCACGCCGACCTCGACGGATGACGAATCCGCAGACTCGGAGGACCGGCACGTCCACAAGAGTGCGTATAACCACTAAATCTCCTCTCTCTCTCTCTCTCTCTCTCCCTATATATATGTCAATTAGTAATTCGTATGTTGTTGCGCCGTTCGGGAAGTTTAATTAAACTGTGTATCTCTCCGGTCACAATTCGCCGGGATCGTATACGCGTTTACCTCGTGTCGTCATTAAACCAGCCCATACGCCACCAAAATTGTGTATAGCACCAATCCTGCAATCAACAGGATCGCAATGACGTAAAAAAACGCGCACATAGCTTTCATAGTTACGAACATGGTGTAAGAATACACCATGGTTACGAAGCTGCGAGAAACGCTCGCAACGCGAATAAAAGAAGAATGACACGATAGCAATACAATCGGAACGTGAGAAAAGAATTTTTTTATACTGCGTCTCGTTTGTAGTACAGTATACCTTTCTGTTTTAGCACATATATAAAGTACAGTTTAGCAGAAATTATTTTAGCATTTCAATAGCACGTTATATTAAATTATATTTTCAGAATAATACACTGCTTGCAAAATCTTATTTCAAAATCACCCGTTATTTGTTTAATATACCATTTTATTGAGTCTGCGATGATAAAATCATCGCAAATCGTAACGTAAAATAAAAAGAAAATATTGGGGACGGGAAGATGAGGGTGGAATATCCCGAAATGATTCGGCAGTTATATAGCAGTATTCTAAGGTTGCGATCTAACGGGGGGTTGCGCGGAGTGATTTATTGCAACAAGATAGAACGGTCGCATTACCGAGGATGATCGGCAATTTTATCGTGAATGGACGCGTATATTCGCGGCGCAAGGTATTCCGTTTTCGCACATATAAGATCTCGCCATCAATCGCGCGCGCTTGTAACATACGGCTGACGGAAAACATTCGTTGCATATCCAAATCCAAGGTTGCGATCCCGATATGCAACATAAATGTCTCACGGGGCCCGACCGGGGGTGCACCGGGGATGTTAGCGAAGATGCGATATTTTCCGCTCTTTCAGACGACGATCCGTGCCTGGTGAAGTATTGCGGCGCGGGAAGAGAGTGCCAAGTCTCCGCGGACGGCGAGGAAATTGTCGCCGCGTGCGTCTGCGTTCGTAGATGCGCGCGGAGGCATCGACCGGTCTGTGCGAGCAATGGCAGGGTGTACGTCAATCACTGCGAGATGCACCGAGCAGCCTGCAACGCCGGCACGCCGTTAACCATGCGAAGGCTCTCCAGATGCCTCAGCTATGGTGAGCACGTGCTGGACAGTAGGTCTCTATCTTACGTGTAGCACAGAAAGCTCATGCATGTATGGAAGAAATATCTCGTTTGGAAATGCGGAAAGGCAATACATTTACATATACCTACATCTAAATTCTATTTTCAATTTTAATCGACAAACTGATGAATATAAGGAAATTCAAAGACAAAGTAAAAGTCGTGTTTTTGTGTATACGTTTTCTGATATCAGTATTAAAAAACCACTGTTTCAAGTATCCAATTATTCTTATTCTTATTCTTATTGGTTATAAAAATCTGTATCTTTTTCTTCTCAAATTCTTGATTAATATTTTAGTGATGGTAAATATGGAAAAATGAGATTTTTACTGGCTCAGTTTTTATATTTCACGGTCTATAACAAAATAGAAGAAAGGTAAAGTTTATCGACCCAGCGGCGTGCACTGAACTCTATCTATATTTAATTTTAATTATCTATCTATTTAACTAATTAGTTATTGAATTTAACTTTATTTAATTACTTAACAAGAATTATCAGAGCCAAGCTCAATAGCGGATGAATAAAATAAATCAATTAATACACCATTAGCTATTTTCAGGTTTTAATCGTAAATTATTAATACAATTGGAATCTTATTAGAGGTAGGATATGTCATTATACGTGAATAAATATTAATCTCACGGATTTTAACGCTTTTAATCTACTAATACCAACCGTTTAATTGATAATCATTCAGTAGATTAAATTTATAGGCATAACAGTGTAAAAAATCTTATAAGACACATCAAATAAATATTAGCCAAATCTTTACTTTCAACTTTAATTCATTGTTTACTGTAAGGAAAAAAGAAATCACAATCTTTGCGGACTCGCAAAACTTGGGTTTCATTATGAACTCAATAATAACTTGGAAGTTTTCTATTAATTTATGGCAGCCGCGCAGCAGCCCAGTTTGTTAAGAGTTGTAACGACAAGAAAAAAAAATGATGTCGTTACATGGAAACTCGAAGTTTATGATGGAATGTTCCATCATTTCCAGGTAATTACAGCGCGCAGGCACGGAAGGATTTCTTCGCGTACCATGCCTCCTCCAAAGGCAAGAATATCGCTAAGTACGCTAAGTCTAAGAATAAGATGAAGCATCATCCGGCGAGCAAATCGATCCCACGAAAGAACGGTCACGATATCGAGGAGTGTTCGGCACAGGAATACGAGATTATGAAAGTACGTTATTGATTTCGTTCCGCGATGCAATAATTTCCGATTTAAAACGTAGAAAAATTTAACAAGGATTTCTTGACGAAAAGCCCCGACCTATTGCGTTACAAATACTTGATTTTATTTATTATTAATATTCTTTAGCTGTATTCAGATATAATAAAGCTTTAATAAAAAGTTGTTAAAACTTATAAAACCGAAACAGATTTAAATTTGTTATTAATTAAGGTATGCAATAATATTCTATCTTTTTTTATCGAATAATAATTATTTTCAAATATGTAAATTTAAAATAATTTATAAATTTGTTTAAGATAAGATGAGATTTTTATTATGGATTTAAACTTTAATTTATTTATATATATGTGCTCTCTAAAAGTGAATCAGTGAAATCATCACTGATTTTTAGTGTTCTGACAATATTCAATATTGTTTCAGTGATAATGTGCTGATTCAAACAACAAATATCACTGAAAGACAGTAAATTTCACTGTCAAACAAAATTGAAAACTGAAATCAATGATAATTCCACTGATTCACTTTTAGAGAGTGTATATAAATTTTGTTATATATAGTATCGAGATTTTTTCGTATAAAATGCAGAAAAATTAAATATGAAAGTGTATCGGTTAAAAATATCTTTCTTAAATTTGTTTGTAACGGTTCTTACAGTAAAATTTTTTGGCTAATTTTAATTTTAGCTTATTTAAAAAATTATTGAAACGTAATCAAACTACATTATTTTATCTATTTTATTCTTTATTCGTCGTAGGACAACTTACTTCTGTATAGCCACGCCAGACTAATGGCCGAGGATAATCACAGCAAGGAATACTTGGTCAGCATCATGTTTTCTCACTACGACAGAAACAATGATGGTAATTTGGAGCGGGAGGAGCTCGTGCAGGTGATTTAACATTGAATATACTTTTCTCCGTATAATGTTTCTTCATTAGAGTGTTTTCTCCCGAGTTTAACTAAGCTGAAGGAAAAGTACTTGCAATGAGATTTATTTGATGGCCGTTATTTTAACGGCAGTAACACGATTTTTCCATTGGGGGAGCGTCTCGTGAATAATACGCTTAAGCTCTTTCAAACATTCAGATTGCCAAGGAAGAAAACATGGAGGAGCTATGCGCCGGATGCAACTTGAGCCACATGATTAGCTACGATGACACGGACGGTGACGGTAGATTAAACGTTAACGAGTTCTACATGGCCTTTAGCAAGCTTTACAGTAAGTATCATATACGATCCATCTATATCATTTATCACGGGAGCTTCATCTTTTGCAAATTGACGACAAAGATAAAGTATATATAATTACGTCGATAGAATGTATTCAAATTAATTTCATCTTTTAAATTAATTTCTTTCATTTAAGACAAATTTTCCATAAATCTCAACTCAAATATTTATTTATTCTCGCAAATTATCGCCTTTTATATATCACTAACACTCTGACAATGTTGTAAAACGTATAATGTTATCGCCGCAATTAGTGTGATTTAACGCAGTGATTAACTATTTGGGAATAATTTTCTTATGGTAATCCATGTTATAATGGTCTCAATGCTCGACGCATTGTCCATAGACAATAGCGTCACCGTAAATTGTCAGACTGCACACGTGACCGGCACAGTGCCATCGCGCATATATAAACGACCGCGAGGAATTATTATGCAAAGTTTGCACGGCGGACGATCGTCCATTCAATTTGGCCGAAGTATAACGTACACATAATATGCAGCAAGGGTGATTTCGATCTGTGCAGGTGTATCGGTAGTATCGTTGGATAAATCCCTCGAAGTGAATCACATATCCGCGCGAGTCGGGGACAACGTTGAGATTAAGTGCGACGTCACCGGAACACCACCCCCGCCTTTGGTCTGGCGCCGTTACGGCACGGATGTGGAAACCCTCAGCGAGCCGGAGGTATTCTACTCGAACGAAATAATTTGATCTCTATCCTTCGCCGTTACAAGAGCTCTATAGACACCGTAACACCGTCTCTATACACCAGACTGTCATTTAAATAACGCATAAAAAAGATATATTTCTTCACTTTTTCCCTTTATTATAACATAATATTTTTATTATTGGGAAAAATTTATTTTCTTTTACATTTCGTTATATTCTTCGATCCTAATGGATATCAAAATCAAGATTCTTTTTTATCGCTTTTAAATGGACAATAATTTAAAAATTAATGGACGGATATTAATGGAATTAATGGACTGTAACGGACTGATATAGCCCTCATTCTAAACAATAAAAGAAGCATAAGAAGCATATTACGAGATAAAGTAACGCAAACGCACACTTTGTAGGTTCGTGTTCTCAACGACGGCAGTCTTTATCTGACAAACGTGCAGTTGGAACATGCTGGTAATTACACGTGCCACGCTCTCAGGAACCAAGATGTGGTGCAAACTCACATGCTCACCATATACAGTGAGTCTTTCAAACGGAATAATATAAGTTACAGTATCCGGATCCAACATTTATTCTGCTTGGAAAATGAAGATTATATAATTGATTTATATTAACAAAATGTATAAACAAAAATCTGTATATAATATATAATAATTATATCACAATATTCTAGCCAAAGGACTTTACCAAATTTCTTTTATCTATAAATTTCAATTAAATTTATTCTTAACAAAAACAACGAAATAAAAAAAAATAACTTTTGATATAAATATATATTATAGAGACATATTTTCTTCAGTTATTATCAAATATATTATAAAATTGGAGAGAATATCATCTTAAAATAAAACAAAATAAAATATATTTCGTTCAATTAAAGAAATTAATTCATGTTAAAAATCGAGAGTATAACATCCCTCAGCTGTACCCGAAGTCAGGGTGACGCCGCAGTTCCAATCCAAGCGGCCGAAGGGAACGGCGAGGATGAGATGCCACGTGATAGGTGAGCCTCTTCCACGTGTACGATGGCTGAAGAACGATAAACCTCTGAGCGAGGATCAGCCAGACAAGTATGAAGTGATCGGGAACGGTACCAAATTGCTAATCAGGAAGGTCGATTATGCCGACACTGGGGCTTACATGTGCGAAGCGACCAGCGCTGGGGGTCTAACGAGAGACATCAGCAGTTTAGTGATTCAGGAGCAACCTACACCGAGTGAGTAAAAGGATAATTTCTTGCTCTAATGAGAACTCGTATCCCATTATAAAAATATGTTTAATTAAGGAAATATAGTATCAGTTAATATTGTACTATCAGTATAGAGGAATATTCGCATTTAATATTTGCCAATAATTTTCTACCATTATTAGTAGTAATTAATTGTAACTTTACATACTATCACATAATTTTATTATCTTATTGTACCTTTAATATGGAAATCTTGCATACAGCTGCGACGGACGAAGAACGCAGATTCTTATCTTTTCACGAATGGGGTATTCTAGTATATGAGCCATCTACGTGTCACGCGTTACACGAAATTCATTCCACAGACATCATACCTGGTACTCAGGTGCGAAATCAGAATATATTCCTTCTTCTTTCCTGCCTTTTTTTCTCTCGTTGTTCTTATCGTCGTATCTATTATATTTTTAGGAATACGTCTGCGGGCCTAAAAATGTTCCATGTTCATGGGGTCGTGCCATAAACGTTGCTGATAGATATGTATACGTTAGTCAACCGAATAAGAACCGCGTGCTTGTGATCAGCGAAGTACAGATGATGATAATTGACGTACGTAACGTGTTTTTTTTTTCATTATAAAATCGAAATTCAGAATACCGTCGAATAATTTTAATGTAATTTCTCAGGTAGTGGCGACAGACAAAAACCCGGTGGATCTGTGGTACATACAAAACCTTGACTATGTCTGGGTGTTAAACTGGAGGAGTGAAATGGACATCGGCATCAAGACGGTTCAGATAATCAAGGAAGCTGCTCAGCGAAAGAAACACCATACTATGCGACCAGAGCCTATCGATGCGCAATTCGATCTTGTGAAAGGCCTGTATATTCCGCAGCAACGAGTACGTTAATTTCTCATCTTCATCTTTCGATATCGTAAAACTATAATAAATTTGAAACTACAAATAAATTCTTTGACCAATGTATTATTTAATTAACTTGGATTGTATTATCAATTATATTACAAAAATTGTATGACTAATATTACTTTATCCATATTACTTTTAAAGACTTTTAAATCTTTTATTTCTTAGGATACAAAACATATATTCAAATACGGTTACGTGACCCATACAAATCAGCATGGGATGTACAAGCTTGATCTGGTCAACTTGAGATACACTCGTACTGTGAACTTGGCCAGCTACAACTGCGTGCCAACAAGCATGGAATTCTCCGATCTTTGTAATATATTTCTCATTAATATTTTTTCAAATTTTTGTTTTACCTCGTAAATTCAAATTCTATTCAGTTTTCCCACACAGCTTGAACGCAATGAAATTCTATTTTCAGATGGTTTTGTGATACTGGAATGCGAAGAGCCGATCACTGGCCGACCGACCGGTCAAGTGCTATTAGACTATCTTACTGACAGCGTTCTCGCTCATAAACCGAGTATCCTGGGAAAACCAGCGATTTCTCCCGATTCAAGATACCTGGTTACTCTCGATAAACAAAACACCGGTGTCACTCTCGTGGTGCAGGAGATATTACGTAATATACTTTCCTTGTTGCATTTTCACTATATATATAAAATGAGATAGAATACTTTGAATAAACTAATTAAATATGATTAAAGACTATTTACATCAGAGAATCTTTTCTAGTTTATTAAATTCTAAAACAAATTTTTTTAATTTTGAAATAATGATTCCAATATAACGAGTGAATTGCATACATTTTTCCAGCAAGCGGACTAAAATTCGCTTTTGACGTAAAAACGACTTTAAACATCAGCGACATTGCCTTCTATCCATCGCAAACAACACATAGTTACGACATTTACGCTTCATCGATAGACAAAGAAGACATCCTCTTCCTAGATTTAACTACTGGTAAGATAATCCTTTGCAATTTATGTAAATTAAATTTTATTTTAATGCTGATTATAAGAAAAAAAAGAATTTATCGATCATTTCTTTCATCTTTCGCGAACAATTAAATTCTTTTGCAGAATAAACTTCTGAAATGTAAATTAACTACAAAACAGAAACTAACATATTTGTTCCAGGAAAAGTGGAAATGATAACAGGCGTGGGGAAGGCAACACCACCACATCTCACCAAATGGGGTAATCCGAATAGACCGATAATACAAAGCGGTATATTTGGTCGATATATGGTAAGCCCCTCTAACCAGGCGCTCTTTGTTCTCAACGGGGAGACCCGTACGGTGAATTGCGAGATTGGTGGCCTTATACATCCCGGCGCGATTGTTTGGTTCACTGTTTCGTTGCGTTAATGAATGTAGCTTCGTGACGACGACAATACGAGACGTACGTATATAAATTGAACATAGGGATCCGGGCAGATAACAAAGCCAATATATACCGAAAAACTTTAAGTGGAATTAAAAGTAACATAGGAAATAAACTGTGCGATAAATACGCTTTCATCTTCCCTAGATAACTCCTTTTAAAACAAATATCTCACGTTTAAATTTTTTTCGCATCATGACTGCGCTAATTAAAAAAGACAGCAACGCTATCTCAAAGCAATGTCCGAGAGCCGACATGTAGCGACATAGTGTCAATGACAGATAACTGTAATATATATAATTAATTATATAATTGATAATTTTCAATTTATATTAGTCTATATCGATTAAAAATTGTGCTAGTGAAATATTAATTAAAATAAAAAATGAGAAAATAATTAAGATTACGGGCGATAAAAATGTTTTTAAGTCTTGTTCCTTCCAATCAGTTTCTAATTTCGAAAAATAGATTCTCATAACTATTGTTACATATATAAAATTTTCATGTATTATTATATAGATATTGTTAAAATAATACAAAATAATTTTTAATGAAACATATAATTTCACATATTATTGCCCACGTAAAAAAAATTTCATTATTTGAATAATAGTACGTCTCATACTTTTAAGAGTAGTGATGTAAACTGTTACCTAATACATATCAAATGTCAACTGCCAAATTGTCAAATATTGTTTACGAATTACCGTTGCTGTAATCTTTAATCGGCAAACAGTCACAATGCCAGAAATTTAAATCAATGTATTCCAGATCAAAACAGATTTCACAGATATTTGAAAATTATTTTCTTGATTAAAAAAATTCAACCAATTCAACCAATCAATTTCAGTCCTTGACCTAAATACGATATTGATACATATTAAGAATGCTTATCTAGAGAAGATGAAGAGATATATTCGTCGTAACATCGAGAATGCGTGAGAATAACGAGCAATGAAAAACGTAAACCATAAAGGAACGGCCATAATAGAGGAACAAAGAAAATAATATTAAGCTATACATAACGTAAACATAATCTAAAGATCGAAGTGTAAGCAAGCTACTATTAATTGTAGCATAAGTACGTATGTTGAGTGGGGCAGATGCACCAGTGAGAATGGCCGTTTAAGAGAGGAAATTCAATATATTCTATTATAAATTATGTAAAGTTTTCTTTTCCTATAAGTACAAATTGTTTAATATTCAATTATCCCTTAGGTCTCGTATAAAACAGTTTAGAATTTCAAGTATTAAAACATATAGCATAAAAAATTGACTATTTGAGATTATAATAACGAAAGTGGAATAAACTGTTAGAGTAAATAACTTTAATCTTCATAACTGTATAATAATTATTATATAACTGTACACAATGATTAACATTATCACATTCTCGGTTTTAGAAAAAAATATATCTAGATTACACACATTTTATATAACCACGAAAATAATGAAATATAATGTGGTTATTTAGTGTTACAAGATCATTCGCTGATACACCTACCCTACAAGAGAATACCGAATTCAGCTGAATGTATTACTGCGCATAAATTGGCAAAGAAAAGCGTATGCGTAGCAAATCGCGCTTAGCGTAAAAAATTAATCATATCGTTCGACAAGATGATTGCAATGATTAAAGAAACATTTTCATGTCTTTTATTTAGATTCAAAAAAAGAATTATTGTGCTTGTTTTCCAGCTTCAATTGCTTCAGCAGCAATATGTATTTTTTTTACTTTACATAATTAAACTCTACAAAATCTATAATTATTAATATGATCTACATTACCGATTGGAAAGATATTAAATTCTGCCCGCGATTATTAAATTACTCTGTATTATCGATTGTCGATTTACACAATATTAGTCAACTACAGATTTCGTTGAGTCAACAATATAGACATCACTGTGTCGTAATGTCAAGGCGCCAATGCATGATGTCCAAACATTTACGAATAAAAAAATAGCAGGAAAATTGGCAGTATACTAAATAAAAACTTGTATTTTCATGATTTCTGGATATTTCATATGTATTTTGGTAAGATTATGTAATGTGGATCTTAGTATGCGCTATATTAGTGCACCCAAATAAATTTGTTACAAGAGAGTGAAAAGGCCGAAACTGCTAGATTCGGGGGAAATCATTAGCGCGCAACGGCAATAGCATTTTTTTATACTACAGAAAGTCTCGAGAAACCTCGAGAATCGGTTTTGCAGCAAACAGAAATATTTAAGAACCGATTTCTAATTACGCATACGCGTCAAGTTACAATGTAGCGTGTTATAACAATTTATAGCAATTTTAAAATGTGCGTGAAACATCAGTATTACACCGATGCTGTGCTAATACGAGCGTATGTTGAACTGCGATTAGTGTCTTTGTAATAAAAATTGCTATATATGTATATATATATAAATATATAAATATATATACATATATACATATACACAACTAATTTAATAAATAATCCATGAACGTAATTGTGTTTCATAAAATGTGTATATTCTGTTTCGCTTTACAATCCTCTTGTTCTTTCACTTGGATAACGAAGGAATATCGGATAAGCGCGACACTTTGTTATTGATAAGCGTATATCCTCCCGCTCCTCTGCTCAGATAAAGAAGAAAGCACGGCGAAGCGTGATGTCCCGCCTTTGGTGAGTGATGATTTCAAGTTTGATTTCAAGTACGACACGTCCACCTTTTTATTCACTAATAAATTACGTGTTTAGAATCCTCGAGTTCTACATTTAACCGTCTACTGTACAAATTCGACATACGTTTACAATATATGCTCAGTACAAATATGCTCAGTTCTTTCGATATTCGCGAAATAGGTCAGGCCCAAGTTGCGCTAACGCAAACGCTACCGGCAAAGCTACCGATTGCGAAGAAACGGTTATCCTCCGTCAAGAAATTGCATAACAAATCGCACGAAGGAAACGCACACAGCTATCAATGTTTCACGTAATTGAACGCAAATTGGTGCGTGTACGAAGAGCACGCTCTCCGTTACACTTTTAAAAAGATAACCCTAGCAGAGGCAGGAGAGAGAGGGAGATGGATGCGCGGGGGAGACAGAAGCGCAACAAAATGGATAAAGAAAGAGTTGCAAACGTATAAAGTATGCGAATAAATCTTTCGCAGTGTATATCACGTGGAAGAACGCAAATATCAATCCCCCTTTTGCCACACTCCATTCTTTTGCTGCCACCAGCCCCGTTCCTTCTTCGACCGACTCGACTTGTTCTACCGGCTACCAAGATAAATACACCACTTGTTATATATTGCACGGTTTCAAGTTGGTCCCTTGTCGACTATAAAACAATATGTATGCATTGCTAAAATCCTCGTCTTGTGGCTTCTGCCTGCTCGTGATCTCATCGTTATAATAATACCACACGTCCGTGCGAGGATTCTTCGCATACGCCGTATAATGGCCCGCGGACACGCCTGAAATTTTATTTGACATGTGACAAAAACAACTTTATGTATCTCTAAATATGATTCAAATTATTTTTGGAAAGATATTTAATTTTAAACATAAAAAGCACGCAAAGTATCAGCCATTTAAAAATGTTTAAAAATTTGTTTTAGAAAAATACAAGTATAAAACAATATGCTAATAAGATAATATAATGCGTAACAACTTTATGTATCTCTAAATATGGCTCAATTATTTTTGGAAAGATATTTAATTTTAAACATAAAAAGCACGCAAAGTATCAGCCATTTAAAAATGTTTAAAAATTTGTTTTAGAAAAATACAAATATAAAACAATATGCCAATAAGATAATATAATTTGTTCAATTATTATATCACACAGTATTGCTGCTCTTATATCGATAACGGCAACAATCTTTTCTATAGACATCTTGAAAACGTACACGTAATAAAACTCTATTTCCGACATTCTTATAATAAATACTTTTTAATATAACAAAATTTAAAAGGAAAATTTATCACTTTTAAAATTTTGATAAACATACACACCTCCAAAGTGGCATACGCAGGCATAGAGATCATAAAGGTGGCGTCCTACACTTAGACCCACCAAAGGGAATGTGACCTTGTCATCTAGCTTTACACTCGCGCATTCATAAAACACAAATCTGCAATAAAAAAAAATAATAATTAGTATAAGCTATCCATTTTGTAAGACATTTTGTAAAGTATTTTCGTGATGCACAATGAATATTACATACCGTTTAAGATATACAATAAGGAACTTGGGATATCGATGTACCGTAAGCGTTTTTGTGGCACACTGGTTACATTCACATTTCGGACAAAACCAAGGATTATGTTCGTCTAAAGTTTCGCTAAAAAAAGTTAAAATTATATAAAACATGTACATAATATCAGCAATAAAATTAACAGTGTGACGATTGCATCTAACCTACTTCAGCTACAATAAACGAAAATTATTCCGCGTCGAGAGACTTCGCGAGGAATAAATACTAACGCTACAGGAGCCGCGAACCTGCTCGCCAACTGACCTTTCTCGTGTGTTTGTCTCTGTTTATCTCTCTCTATATTTTCGTTTTTTGTTACCAAACAGCTGAGCAAGTCCGCAAACCCGTCAGCATTAATACGTACATATTTTTCGCGAATTCTATCGACGCGGAATAGTGTTTACTTATCGCAGCAGAAGTGGCGATGCAATTGCCACATGTATATAAAGTAGTATATTTATTTATGTCACTCAAGAGTGAACTTCTACTAGCAAAGATAAAAAAACAATTCATAAAAATCAATTACCTCTGACTAAATGCTTGAAGGCAATCATAAAGAGACAGTGGATGGTGCGGCCGTTGCTTACTGACGCTGACGTGATCGATGGGATGCAGGATCTTAGGAACATATTCAGTATAACGAACCGCAAGCGTATCACCGTTCTGTAGTGCAACCATTCCTGTATCAGGTACACTACACCCAGTACAATGCGCTGTATACATGCATCGTGAACAATGGTGACCCTATAAAAACAATTTTTTTATATATTAATATATTTAATAATTTATTTTTAAGGGACCATCCCTGAGGTTTTAAAATGATACCTTAAGTTTGGGATTTTTTTGTGGGTAAATGGATAAAACTTTATTTAAAATCTGCTTAGAGGATATTATTGTACATATATAAGAAACAAAAAAAATATTTAAAAAAATTTTTTTATGTCCAAAATGACGGCGCACTGGCCTACACTTGCGGAATTCATTTTTTTATATCAGTGTACAGGATTCCAGGCACACGGTTTGACCTTGAACAAAACACAAAGAATTTTCATTATCTACATATTAAAGACTAAAGGAGTACGTAGGGATTTTTCAAAATATTGATTTTTCTCAAAATGGCAACTATTTTACGAAAGACTTGTATTGACAAAAATACGAACTTTTCGTAAAAATAGCTGCCATTTCGAGAAAAATCAATATGTGTATAAGAGACAGCTTCTATAGTCTTTAATATGTAGATAATGAAAATTCTTTGTATTTTGTTCCAGATCAAACCATGTGCCTGGAATCCTGTACACCAATTTGAAAAAACAGAAAAAAGGGATTTCGCAAGTAAGCTAGTGCACCGCCATTTTATACATTAAAAAAAAATAAAATATTTGTTTTAATTTCTTATATATGTACAATGTCGTCTAAACAGCTTTTAAATCAAGTTACCTATTTACCCACAAAAAATCCCAAACTTAGGTATCATTTTGAGATCTCAGGGGTGGCCCCTTAAAGTCAGTTAAAATTTTGGAATGTACTAATAGCTATGTCATTTTGATTTTTGTTTTGAAAAACTATGTAATTATTTCATTAACAATGTATATTTTTACATGATATATAATTTAATTATTTTAGTTATATATCCTGATTGTGACAATCAATTATACACGAAGCATTACACAAATAATTTCTTTTAAGATTAATATGATATATCTTTTATATTGAATCTGATCTCCATCTACCTGTCCATCAACGAAATGAATCGTGTAGTCTCCTTCATGTGGCACATTTCTCTTGATGATGTCATATAAATCCCGTGCGTTTACTCTTGACGGGAGTCGTATCAAGTGCGGATAGCCGAAAAGCTTTGTGCTTTTGCGGTTGTTTGTCGTCTCGTTTGTCGTATCGTGCCTCAATACCAAAGGTACGTTCAGAATACGTACAGTGGGCCTGGGTCGACCAGTTTGATCTATCTTCGTAAACGACGATGCTGTCATGTACGTGGAACACACCGGACACATTTGCGGCTCCGTTTGATTCTTGAAATAATTCTGTGAAGTAATACACAAAAACTTGGGCTTTGCTTGAAATGATTTTAATTTGCGCAACGATTTTGTATATGATAACTTTGTTTCTTGTTAAAACACGGCAAAATTTGATTGAAATAGTAATAAGAGCCCTCAGCAACGGCAGCATCAGATTAGTCTGAATTGAGTTCCAGGTATGACTACCTGGCTGGTGGATTAAACTAAACATGCGGATTATACGAGCTTCCACCTTCGCGTTTCCAGTCGCCTCTGCTTTAAAAAAAAAAGCGTCTCCGGCATTTTGGAGAACACGAAGCTATTTCTGGTTCTCGTACGCATCATTACGATGCCGTCCGGCTAGAACGTTTAACAATCTTATCTCAGACCTTCCCGAGGTGAAAATAATGACAATGTATGCCTCGTTTGTACACCCCTCCCACTAGATTGACACTGCCATCTCTCATCATTGGGATGATTGCAATTGTAATCAAATGCGATAGAAAGCACACGATAAAATATAAGGATATGACCCTAATTTTATACCTCTAATTTTATAACGTTAAAATTTTATAAATATAATTTTATAACATATAAATACAGAAATCTTATTTAAAAAATATTTTCTTCTGTTACACTTAAACAACATGATAAACTCTCACCTCGATACACGGATCGCACATGATGAAGTTACAGCTATTTCCGCTATGCCTCTTCAAATCGCCATCCAATTCCTCGAGACATATCATGCACACCATGCACGGCACTTCCTCGCCTGTGATTGTACATCTTTGGCAAGAATCCACCTCCGTTGGACGGTCCCCACCGCCATCCGACACTGAAGTGTACGCATCGGGAGGTTCCGTGAGTTCAAAGGCGTATATCGATCGATTCGTATCATTGACGTGTCTCAAGAGAGTATTGTCATCCTTAAATTTAAAACCTTGATGTAGATTCCAACAGAGTGATGTTTCCGCCTAAGTACGATAAGCTACAGCAAGCAAGTAATTCCCGAAACCTACGGTGCAAGGGGAAAATAATATAGTCAAAAAGCAACAACGGTAAGAAACCGGCAGCGTTGGTGAAATTATAACAAAAAAAAAAAGAGAAGAGAGAGAAGAGAAAAGAGATACAGATAGAGAAAAAAGAGAAGAATTGTGGTGAGTCTGTACGATGAAATGTAGCCCCGTAACTATATTTTCACGTTACGAGAATGTTCTTCCACAGAATTTCTTTAGGAGGGTAGTATCGGCGATAATCGAGCCTAATCGACATACCACCTTCTTAACTCTCCAATTATTTCTTAACAGCGTGTTATATCTCGGTTTGTATAAAGCTCGAAACTGTGCGAAGCAATAATTATAAACCTATATTGTATTTATTCGTTCTTACCAGAATTATAATTTAAATAAGGATAGTCACAGACCAATACGAGCCGGTAAACACAGACGTCCGTGCCTATGATACAGTGTATCCCAGTGTCGCGAACATTGGAATTTCCACCCTTGCCCTTACTCTTCAATATACAAGTGTTGACTGTTGACTGTTGCTTGTAACAAGCCTATTTATAGCTGTACTGGCTTGACTATCTTTATTTAGATTTCTTTAAACATGTTTCTTTAAACACGCGCGCAAATCAATCTTTGTATAATTTAAAATCATATTTTCTAAAGGTTATCGATAATGCTTATAAAATAGCGTTGCTACTGAGACTTTTATATACATATACAAATGCACAAATTAAACAAAATCACTGATTAATTTATCGTTAGTATTGTGATTTATATGACACATTTTTATTAAATATATTTACAAAGCACAAGAGAATAATCACTAGAAAGGATCATTAACAACAAAAAAACCTTTATTAAAATAAGTTCATATTTTAATAATGTAAGAAAACAAGCATATTTGTTCGTACCTACCAGAATCTTCGCTATGTGATTCTCTAACACCTCCGCGAGTGCAATATTCGTCACCGAAATATCTTCTTTGCCAAGCGTTTTTAACAACTCCTCTTTCAATTTCCCAATTCGAGACTGCTTATTCAAAGAAATAACACACCTCATAGGTTGGTCACCGTTTGCAGGAACATAAGTGACATTTAATTGCCTCTCCATAGCATGAGGTAGCGGTACCGATAAATACATAAAAGGTTCATATGTAACAGAAACGTGGTTACAAACCGAACACACGACCTACAAAATATTTGAATCATAAATATTGCATCAGTGTTTTAAAAAAAAACTATCGCAAATTATAAATAATTATAAATAAATAGAAAAATTTATCCAAAATTAATTGAGATATCAATTAATTTGAAAAAACTTTTGTAAAAAAAATGTATATACATAATTATGTAGAAAATTACAATAATTGTAAAAGTAGTATGAAACTTGCCTCCTATTTTTTTCAAGGCAAGATGGAAAGTCTACTATGATTTAATATAGGAGATTTTTACAGTAAATACCGATAATCCGTGGTATCAACTCCAACATATAATCTCCACATAAACAAACAATATATATTAGCTCCAAAAGATTCTTACCGTGCTCTTAAATTGGCCTTGAAATGTGTCAACAATGATACTCCTATTGGATCGCAAGTGCTTCGCCCAGTGTTTATCCGCCTCAAGCTCATCCTGCGCGGCGATAGCGCCGTTTCCATAATTCTGCAGAATCCGCGAGCATTGGATACTTTCACCGCTAAGACCGTCATGCTTGTGATTCTTCTCCTGATCGTCTAATCTCATGCGTTTCACGTTGCACTTTTCCAGACCGCTATCGTATTCGATGTCAGAACCGGTCGACGCGGGATCAAGGCTACCGTTGACTTTCTGGACATTCACCTCTTTTATGCGTTTGATACTAACGCTCTTATTATCAAAATCATGATTCTCCATAAGATTCGAATTATCTAACGGCATCCTGCGGACATTATCCTTGGGAAACTTCTGCGAGTCGTAATGAATTTCGTTATTACACTCCTGCTGTGTTACTAAGAAGTTGGCATTACTCGTCTTGGCCTCTTTGTGAATATCGTATAAGCCACCGTACTGAGGCACGCTTTTCGATAATTCGATCAAAGTGTCTAATCTCAGGGATCGTGTCGGCGTAACCTCATTTGCGCCTTCCTCGTTCACTTTGTTGTGAATAAAAGTGCTTGATCTTGCCTCAATGGTTTCATCCGAGTCCAACGTCTCCTCGTCATCTTCACCATTTAACGGCGAATCTCTCGGTGAATTTGTGATACTATCGAGCTCTCCAATCGACGAATCAAATTCTTGCAAAAAAAAAAAACAATGACAAATGACATTCAAAATACAACAAGACATAATTCTACATTGTATAAATTGCCTACCTCTTGGTGAGCCAGCCACAGTCACATTGGGGCTATTTGGGCATTCTGGTGACAGACACTCGTACATTTCCAAAAGATCTGAATTACAATTGGAGTTAGCCGTGGCAGTGATAGGGGAAAGGGTCTTTCCATTTGAGTTTTCAATAGAATTAAAAGAATTGGCAGTGGTCGTAGATAGTGGAACTTGACAATTCTTGGCACACTTTGCCATATTCATTTGTTCGTGGAGGGAATCCAACAAAAGCGCCAGAAATTCTTGACAGTCATGCTATTAAACATATACGATACAACAATATCTCATACCTAATAATAATTAATGAATAATCAATCAGATATGTTAACGATCACGCACTTACTTGCCTGTAATCCTTGAATTGTGAATGATAAGCACCTAAAGTTTGTTTAAATTCTGTTGGTCTGAGTACGCTGTATCTCCCGGACCACATTTTTCCAAGGAGTACACTAAAGTGTGCCATTAATGACCCAGGTGGGGGCAGTTTCTCTCCTCTTTGCTGTAAATCCAAGAAATGTCGTAGGACAGGAGGAGTCGCAGTCAGGCATTGCAATCCAGCTGCCATAAAGCAGGTATTACCCAAGTTACGAAGTCCACACACGCCTGCAGGCAGAACAACTACCTCTGAAAGTATTTATAGATATCGGTTAAAAATATATCGTGCACCGTCATCGGTTTTATATTCCGGACATTACGTTACATACACTCACCCATTGGCGAGTCATCGTGGGAATCTCCGGCCTCTGCAAAGATGTTGTTAAGCGCTGGTGTGCCGGGCGGCAGAAACGGACCGTGTTCTATGCCGGTTCCAGAATCGCCAATAGGATCAGCACCGATATCTGTGAAATCATTTAATCCGGGCGGTGGAGGTAGAGGAATCGCATAGTCTGATGTTGAACTGTTTGCTTCAGTCCTAGAAAGATTGCGCAGGGAACAATTAAAGATGGGGAGGCAGTCAGACATGCACAAACAAGACACACGCAGTTTGTTCAAATCAATCTATGTAATTTATAAGTTTCATATTTTATCAGAAATCAGAAATTATTTACAATACATGATTTCATTTGCAGAAATTTTTAAAAGTTGTTTGGATAAAATATTATTTTTATCAAATTTTTACAACAAAGACAACTGTCAGATTGTCATAAAAGCAAACCGCCACGTCATTCATTATCATTAGCGGCCTAATTTGACATGTCACTAGATGATTAGTCACGACGACACACAACCTCCATTAAATCACACGATTTTTATTGGTGCACGAAATATCTCTCTCAGCCACGTGTATACAAATAATTGTATCCAAAAATTATTTATGTACTTGCATATCTCATAAAGATGTTATACAATAAGACAAATAATTCTGAAGTGATAAAATATATCTTTACCATGTATCTTCAATGCCCATATTAACTTCGGAAAGAGCTTTATCTTCTTGCAGCGTGAGAGCTTGATCTAAGGAAGAAGTCAAGGGGCTAAGACCAGTTGATTCTAACGCCTCCGATATCTCTGGTACGTCAGGCAAGTGAAAAATTCCAGATGTTCCAATCATTGAAATATTTTCAGCCTCCGTGACATCCACCTTATTGTCCATTCAGATAACAAGCCACAATGCAGTCTAAAACAATAATTACAATTCCAAATCTTAACTATTCGTCACACAATAATGTTTTACTCCGTTTTCTGGTCACTTTGACAAAAATTTATTTTAATGTCGTAAAAATCCATATATATATATATATATATATATATATATATATATATATATACTATAACAACTCAATACAAACGAAAGCGATTCTAAATGAAGTCTTTGTAAAGATAATTAAATCGCACTTGAATCGCATACATATATGACACAAGCGCTAATTATTTTTTGCAAATTCATGCTAAATGCAATTCTTAATGATTGATGTTACCAAAAACAGGATAAGAAAAAAGACACAACGTGCGCATTCTGTTGCACGAGGCAAGAAAGAGATTAGCATTCTAACGGAAGTTGGAATGCTTCGCGGCGTTAGAGCAGTACCGCAATTTCAATCGGATTACGTCGCCTCGTCGTAGCTCGCGACTAGCAAGACACATCTCCGCCGATCCGCGCGGATCGCGTCGGATTCGCCCTCCTCCCTCGGTCCACGCGCGGGAAGGCCACGAATGAGAGGAGGAAACGAAAATTTTTGTCAAACACAACCACCTCCGGTCGCACGACGACCACATATTCCGAAACGTCCCCTAACCTGATACGCCCCAATTTCGCGCGATAGCGCAGGGCGCGTTGCGCCGCGTGCACGGCGAGCGCACGATTGTCGTTGGGACACGAATTTTCTCTCCGACGACGAGCGGACGTTGATACGCGCGCAAAATTGCGCGAGGATGTTCAATATGGAAGTGCGAGCGGAGTTCTCGAAAGGTGCGCGCTCGGGCGGTGGAGCGAACGTGGGTCTCGCGGGAGACTCGCGAGCGCGCGCGACCGTGATGCCGCGTTTTTCTCTTGCACGCGCGCGGCGGTCGCGCGACGTCGACGGGCATCGCCAATGCTGGCCAATGCCAATCGCCCGACGGACGGGTACCCGCGCACGGCGACCGGAGACCGTGGAAGAATCGCGCGACCGGGAGGGATCCAGTTACTTACACCGTGAGATAAGCGAGCCCCGCGCTCCGAGGACGTCTACACCGCCATTGCAGCGCACACAGCACACAGCGGGTACCACAGCGTGATTCGCGCGGGATATGCGACTCCGTCTACGGCGCCTCGGGAAATGGACGTGTTTTCCTTCCTACCCCCGGCCGAAGAATCGCGAGAGTCCACCGCACAGCACTGCCGAAACGATCATGGCGGCCCCCCGCTTGACGACAAACAGTAAGTATATCGGCAGAAGTGGAACTAGTGGAAGGGAGTCGAGCCAGCCAGCCAAGGGAGACGACGACGACGACGGCGCCGAATAAGTTAGGTTAGTTCGGAGTGCCCGAGCGCACGCGCGCGCGCACCACCACTCGAGTCATGAAACTTGCCAACGCATCGAAACCACAAACTACAAAAAATTACCTGGGCAAACCGTGACGTCCGTAACAATAAGAAAATAATTTGGCCCGGGAGGAAGGACGGAAGCGCGGTTGGGAAAAAATGTTAAGATTCCTTTTTGTTTGTGTTTGACATAAATCTAGACGATCTAGGGTTATACATTCCAAAACATTGCTTTCGACGAAAATTTTACTAAAAACCTATATATTTTAAGTTTAATATGTAACGCAAATATAGCTTTTCAGTAAAATTTTTCTCCAAAAGCAATCTCGGAATGTATAAGCCTAGAAAAAAGAAAAGGACCAAATGGCAAATTTGATCAGCTGTGTTATGTGTTGCTACTTTCTCGAACGAAGCGCGGCTCGCTTTGAATTAGCTGCATCTCATTTGCAATTGATCACAGCGACACTGCAGGTGCTTGAAATTTTTTCCGCTGGATCAAACAATCAGAACGTTTTATATAAAATTTGCTAATTAGCAACATGCTGAGAAATCAAGTCTCACTAATAATTGATTCATTTCAACCGCAATAATATTTCGTGCGCATCGGGCGGTTATAATCGGTGTATTTATAATTACATACTTGAATAATCTTCTAATTTATTAATATTCCTCTAATTTCTTAAAGACACTCGGCATGGATTTACACTCTTTCCAATTATTTTTTTATCCCCACAAAGAGTGTATAAATCCATAAGTATCTCCAATAAACATAAAGAAGATTATTCAAGTATATAACTGCATATAACAATAAACAGAATTTTATTTTGTTCCAAAATAAATACAATTTTCGATACAAATATTTTCTAATTTGCAAGAATTATATATAATTAATGAGGAAAATAAGTCGATCTATTTTTTTGCATACGCAATATTTTTGCCGACATTAATTCTTAACTGATCGCATCTAACTAATAATTGACTTTTTTCTCCACAAGTATAATAAATACATATACAAAGTCCACGGTCGTTGCGCCAATTATATATATATATTACACGTCAGACTTTTATGCGCAGACTCGGCTTTTGAAATATTCGACACTTATATGTATTATAATTAATAGGAACACATTTATATAAATTTCTCATTCCCTGCAGGGGAAACAGACTAAATGCAGTATCGCATGTGTGATTCATTTACAGCTGTGGTACATATGATCGGTTGCGACATTTTTTTCATAGGTTTTTATTATTGTATATATTTAATGTATGTAATATATATTTTATAGGTATAAACCAATTATATTTTACAAATGCGAATCACGATGGTGTACTATATCTTTAGAGAATACAACCGACAGTACACCAATCGTGATTCGCATTTGCAAAATAGTGTTGTTGGAAACCTACACGAAGAGAATTTTTTTTTAAATTTATCCTGCAAATCATGTTAATTGTGGGACAATATAGTATTTAGGCAAATTTTACTGTGCACTACAATAAATTTTACTATATTTTACTACTGTCAAATTTATTGTAGTGCACAGTAAAATTTTCCTAAATACTATATATTGTCCCACAATTAACAGGATTTGCAGGGTAAATTTAAAAAAATTCTCTCCGTGTATTAAAAAAAAAAAAGTGTCGCAACCGATATGTCCACGACTGTACGTACTAATTAAATTACTAAATTATACTTTGCTTATTTTAATCAAGCTAAGTCTCGCCCGGCGAATCTTCTCACCCGAATCTTTTATCCGCCCCTCTCTCCCATCCCTGCCGCTCCTTTCTCTCGATGTCCGAGCCCTGCTGTGACATACATATATAACTTGCTCGCGTCTCATGCCTGCAGTTAAATTGCTGTTGTCGGTGGAAAGATAAAGAACCTGTTGGGATATACATATATACGTCGGACGTACACGCGAATCGCGTGCGCGCGCGTAAATTAATTCGTTCCGCTGCTTTTTCGAAATTATATAAACGTGACGCCTCTATATATTTCGAAATGAAGCGACCCTCCCTGGACCTCCCGTTCTAATAATTCAACGCCGTCAATTTCAGAAGATTTCACGAGAGGAAGCGAGAAAACTGTGTATGCCTTTCACCGCCTGAGCAAGTCAATTTTTTCTCTCGCGAGCGCGCGGCCGAGGCGCAACGGAGATCCTTCCCTGGCGTTCCTCGGCGTCGACGATTTAACACGGGGGTCACTTTCTCGTAAGCCACTCCAGTCGCGCGAGCCGTGAAGGAAGTGCAGTGTGCGCGAGAGAGAAAGAGTGAGAGAAGAAAGAGAAAGGCGAGATAAATAGGAGAAATAGGCGGTGTATGTGTATACGACGCGGATTCCTGCAAAATAATTTCGCCCGCAAACTTCACGCTGTCGCGCGGCTCGCGCGGTACGCAGCGGTACGTGCTGATAGCCCGACATTGGTATCAGACATCAGTATGAGCAAGACAACGGGTAAGGACAAAGACGAGGCCCACATGACAACGGTAAGATACTATCGACGATTATAATACACATATATATGCGTCGAACATATTATATTAACGCTTACATTCGCGAGTGGACGGGAATAAAAATGGAATCTCATCTCGAGTCGCGCGTTATCTTCTTATTCATTGTTAAACGCTCCGAGCGTTCTTGAGTTCTTGGAATAACGCGCGCCCCCGCGTGCGCTTCCATCAATCAATTACGTGCTTCTTTAAAAAAAAAAAATGTGCATTACATGTTAAAATTTTGGTATTTTAAAATTTTTAATGATAAGCAACTGGAACGTGAAATCATTTATTATGTAAGGAATTATTCAATGTAATTATTTCATTATAGCCTGAACTGATCGAAACTCATGGTTACGCAGCTGAGACCCATCAGATTTGCACGGAAGACGGTTATTATTTAACCGTACATCGTGTGCTTTCTAACGATCGAGTGCCATCAGTGTCATTAAACGTTGACGCCATCATAAAGACCAATACGGCTGGTATTGCCAATGAAAATGAAGACCGTAATTTATCGGTTTCTACTGATTGTCATCGAGTCTTAGAAACCCACGGATGTCACATCAGTCCAAGCTCTAAATTACCAGTTATTATAAATCACGGACTCGTATCCAGTTCTGCGGATTGGGTGCTCCTGGGACCAGACAAGGCCCTCGGTTAATACTATCAAATAATATATTTTTTTTTCTTTTTCTTAATTTTTGTACTTTGCATTTTTGTTACTTATTTCAGTCGTCTATTTCATTTATATTAAAAAAATCTTTTAACATCATTAGAATATTTATAAATATTTTAGACTATTAATACGTCCATAAAACTTTTTGCAGCATATGTTCTTTGCGACAATGGATTCGACGTTTGGCTTACAAACACTCGTGGAAACACCTATTCCAAATCTCATAAATATTACTCGATCAAAGATAAAGAGTTTTGGAATTTCAGGTAATCAAGCAACTAAAATGATAAAAATGTAAAGAGAGGTAATTACGATAAAATAGAAATTAGAGGTAATAAAGCGAGTAATATGAATATATAATTTTACTCGCTAATACTAAAGCGAAACGTTACTAATTGTAAGTCTAATTCTTTAGTCGCAAATTATAAAATTTCAAATTATAATCAATTATATTAATTTAATTCGGAGAACACGTAACGTTTTTCTGTGTGAGTTATATAGGACTATATATAAAATAAAAACGTTCCGCTCTAATATTATCGAATAAAATTATATAATTAGATTGCAACATCTTTGTTTGCTCGTTTTATTGGCCTTTATTTCCTCTAGTTTCTATTTTATTCTAAAAAAATACAAGCCAATATACAATTTTTACTTAGAAGTAATTACATTGTATCTATATAAAAACGATTAATAAATATTTCTGTTATAGTTTTCACGAGATTGGATATTATGATTTACCAGCGGCGATAGATTATATCTTAGAAAAAACTGGTCATTCCAAATTGTATTACGTTGGTCACAGTCAAGGCGCAGCCGCGTTTTATGTTATGGCGAGTGAAAGACCTGAATATAACGCTAAGGTCAAAGGAATGATAAGTTTAGCACCTGCAGTATTTTTGGGGAATCAAAGAAGTCCACTTTTGAAGCTTGTCGTACATTTCTACAGTGTACTAGATGTAATTACATTGATTTTGTTGTTATATATATATATATATATATATATATATATATATGTATATCCTGATTTTTTTTGACAAGATTATGCCACATCATTTGCCGTAAATGTGTTTCAGTGGGGATCTTACATTTGCAACACACACGAATGGTTATCTCGCAATAAATGGCAAAGTCGTGTATTGAGGACCTTCGTATACAACGCTCCTGGCACGCTGACAAAAGGTTTCTGTAATTGCTGGTTTCATCTCATCGCCGGATTCGGTAGCGACCAACTCGATAAATCAATGCTGCCTTTAATATTCGGACACTCCCCAGCAGGCGCTTCAGTCAAACAACTTATTCATTTTAGCCAGTTGATCCTCTCCGGTAAGTAATTTAACAATGTAAATTTAGTCCATTCTCAAAATTTATAATAGAGTTTCGATTTTACCCAAAAATTCTATAAAATTCTAGACATCTGTTAAAAAAGATATGATTAATATAGTGATTAAATATAATTTAAAAAAAGTAAAATTCGAAAGATATATTATAACATCAAATATCTCTTGCCAAACGTAATTTCTTTTATAAATAGATTTTTTTACCCATCTTCTTTAGTTTAGAAAATAAGAAAAGTTATTTTTTATGCGAGGACGTCTCCTATATGTAATCTAAAATTATTTTCCAGGATCTTTTCGGAAATATGATTATGGCACTAAAGCAAATTTAATTCTCTACGGATCTACACAACCACCTAAATATACTCTTGAAAGAGTAAAGGTACCTGTGGCGATTTTTTACAGTGAAAATGACTTTATTACTCATCGTACTGTAAGTTCTACTACTACAAGATGAATCTGTTAACGCTGCATTGCGTTTTGTATATATCATCATTATATGTCTTGTCTTTTACTTTATAATTTTTCCTAATTGTTTCAGGATGTTCAAAAACTAGCGGATAACTTACCAAATGTTATACAAACCGAAAAAATAGCATACGAAAAATTCAATCATATCGACTATCTCTGGGGACGTGACGCAAGGACAATCTTGTATAACAGTATCGTGACTGTATTAAAGAAATTTTAATATATCGTGATATTTTAGCAAAAAAAATTATTTAATATCAATTTTGTATTTGCACGTAACAACTCAGGGATATCGTTTGTTATTAAGTCCTATATATATATGTGTGAATACAAAAATTATTACATCATATATGTAGAAAAACTATGACTATTTGCAAAAATAGAGATATTTTGTGTCTAATATTTTTGTGTATATTGAAATATGTAAAAAATATGTTTAAAAAAATGCATTTAGTATTTTAAAACTTGATGAAAAGCTTAATTTTTATTTCAAAAAACTAAAATGTTGGAAAAAAATATCTTGGTAGATCGTGTAATATATGTAAAATATGCGAAAACATATATTAATATTAATGAATTGATTTAAATTAATTTACATATTTTGCTTTATTGACACAAAGTTTAAGATTTAATCGTTCGCCAAGACATAGCATGCATTAAAAAAATAGAAAGATATATATTCCTAACATTGACAAATATATACCATGTAAAAAAAAATCTCATAAATTTCCAATAAAACTGACTTTCACAACGGCTTTGTTTGAAGTAATTCTTTATCATTGTTATAAGATATTAATCTCTGAGCTTATTGATTATTTCTTTTGTTCAATATATGTATAATGAAAATTTTTTTTCCTCTTATTCCTAATATGTACACACACACATGCGCACGTGTGAGTGTGTGTGTGTGTGTGTAGACATTTATTATTGTTTCATAAATTTTATTTTTCTAAGAGTAGTACATACATATTACACACATACACTAGCTGTTTCATTTGCTAAATATAAAATAACGTAGAAAGATATATATATATATAACAAGAGAATAAACAGTTTAGACTATATAAAATATATATATATATATATATATATATATATTGTGTCTGACTGCAGTGTGAAAGTTTGGGTTTAATCAGTTTAATTGTGTATTTCTAAGAATTGGTGAAACAGAAAGAAAATGTGATAAAAAGTACAAAAAAACAATTCTTAGGAGGGGAGCAATCTTGTCCAGACTCCCGAATTCGTCTTCCCCCTCTTTTCTCTTTCTCCTTTACTAGTCACGTGTGATCGTTATTAAAAAAAGATAAAGAGAAAATAAAAAAGTATTTAATACAGTGTTGCAAAGTAATTAAATAACTCATCGTATCATTAAAATTATCTTTGAATATAAGAAATACATAAGAGACGTATCCGGAAAGTTTGAAAGTCAAGCATGTGTGTGTAAACTGTCACACGTGCAGATATCAACTGTTGTATCACGTGCGTCAGTTTTTATCTCAATCTGTTTTTTTTTTTTAACATATATTCACAATGAAGACGTAAACGTGGCGAAAAAATCTATGAATCCAAATAAAAATATCTGTTTCTAAGAAATATAACCTTAAAGATATTTACAACTTAAAGATATTTTACCTTCTATAGGCGGGGCAGGGGAGTAGCCTTTATTTTAAAGTTATCTTCTAGTGACAGATTTTTTTCGGTTATAGTTTTCTTATCATAGATAAGAATTATTATATAATTCAACGATGAAAACTGTGACTGACTGTGAAAGCTTATTTCACATCCATTTCATGTGTCATACTTCTTACACTTAATTAAAACGTTCGTTGCAGATAATTACTATATATACTGTCATGGCTTTAAAATTTGCTAGTAATCTGTCTTTCATGTTTACCGAGGTTCCCAGTATTATTGACAGATATCAACTGGCCAAGCAAGCTGGATTTAAAGCGGTTGAAAGTGGATTTCCATTTGGCTTCTCAGTTCAGCAAGTTGCCACAGCCAAAAAGAAGGCTAACGTTGACCAAGTACTTTTGAATGTGTTCACAGGTATGTCGTGTTTGTGCTACGTATTGTAAAAGTAATTTCGTTATAGTTTTCATTTCAACACTGTTTTGTAACAGGTGATGTTACAAAAGGAGAATTGGGCTTTGCTGCAATTCCAGGCGAAGAAGAAAATTTCAAGAAGAGCATCGAGAAAACAATAGAATATGCAAAAGCTTTAGATTGTAAAATGTCAGTACATCCATCAATTATAAATAACATAGCACATAAACTCGATTGACAATTAATTTAATTCTTCTAACAATAAACTCTGTTATATAATAAGGAATTTTACTCTTTACAGGATTCATGTGATGTCGGGAAAGGTGGAAGCTCCTATTGCTGCTAACGATATAGTTTATGAACAAAATCTATTGTATGCTATCGAAAAGTGCCAAAAAGAAGACATTGTTGTTGTCATTGAACCAATTAATAAGTATAGTGTACCAAATTATTACATGAATAATTTTCAAAAAGGTATATACATGAGATTAAATTCATATTATCTGAATTTACTTTCTCGTAATGGAATTATTAAAGCAATTTTTTTATCACAGGTTTAGATTTGGTGAAAAAGATAAACAATGCACACTTTAAACTATTAATGGATATCTTTCATTTGCAACATTGTTGTGGTAATATAACAAAAAGCATTCAAGAATTTTTATCTTATGTAGGTTAGTATAATTTTTAATTATATTAACTTTTAAATTCTCCTTGCATATAGTTTTTAATGTAATTTTAATGTAATGTATCATAGTTTTAAAATTTCCATTCATTATGAATTATATTTTATTTATTTATGTTAATTCAATATAAATCATGTATAATTGATATAGCTTTTTCCATATAGCTTATCATTTTCACATTATTCAAATATATATTCAGTATATTATTTTTATAGGTCACATTCAAATAGCTCAAGTTCCTGATAGACATGAACCAGATACTCCAGGAGAGATTAATTATAAATATGTCCTATCTTTATTGGAAACAAATGGCTATACTGGCTATGTTGGTTTGGAATATCGGCCGAAATCATTAACAGTGGAAGGATTAAATTGGATTAAAAAGTATGGTTACACTTTGTAAATGGATTCATATTAGGTTCTCAATTAACAAGTAATTTAGAATAAGTAAATCTGTTATTAATATAAATTTTTGCACATTAATGGAAATATGTAGGAAATACATAATTAACATACCTAAGTGAATATTATTGTTTCACAATTTGCATGTAACTTAGCTTTCAATTAATTAACTTACGCATAATATTGATTACGCATATACATATATCGCTCATATATTTCGCACAAGTTATAAACATAAATAATTTCTTAAGAAACGTATACGTAAGAAAATATGGCAGTTCAATATAAGTATATACACAAGCTCTTGTGCCTGAAATTTATAATAAACTATACAACCAAGTGCATAATTTATATTTTCTAAATTTGTCAAAATATCGATGTCCTTTAAAATTAACATAAATCATAAATAACAAAAATATTCATAAGTACAAGCATTGTCATTATTCTGCATAATGTTATATTCAACTGATATTTCAGTATAAATTTGAAAAATCGACAGCACTTAATCATAGATTCCGTACAATGTAGAATAAAATGATATTAAGTATCTGTCAAAGTATGTTTCAAAAAATAATAGGATGATTCTTATTACATACAATAAAAAGTTAAAATAGAAATTTTCATATATGTTTGTATCATCTTTTATGTCATAAAATCCTACATTATACAAATGATACCGAGATAAATCTCTAATTAATGTAATATGTATTTCTATTCAGCTTAATTGAATGCAAAAATATATAGTAAAATTGCTAAGTTGTACATAATTTACATAAAAATTTTGGTAAAGAATTATTAAAAATTTAAAATCATCCTATCCATTTTTTTTACAATAAAATATGGACGAATTTTATTTGCAATTTTTTTTTATAATTTCTATTTTGCTCAACACACGTATATGTGGCTATGTTTTGACAAAGAGTATTGTTGATGAAATATCCGACCGAGTTGAACTGCAATAACTTTTTTCGTCATTTTATGATACAACTTGTAATCTACACACTCAATTACAAATTTATAGCAACATCGATATTATACATTGCGTTATAGGCTAATTTAATTGTATGTGAAACATTATGGTTAAAATTACAAGTAATACAATTACAACAATACTTTTAACAACAAATCCATGTATATGTTACAGTATATAATACAGTTAATATTCAAAGTATCTTGTGGTGCGGGACAAACCGCAATGGTAAAAATCCTTGCAATAACAATTCAATGTGACTTTCCTTCGCAACAATAGTACCTATGAAACCCTAAACGCACAACGCCGAGAATTAAAACATAAGAAAGCATCAAATGTTAAATTTGATACTCTGGATTACAGTCGTGATATCATAAAGCAAAATTGCAATTGCGTGAAGTCGTACAGATTTGTCGGTGTTGTTCAGACAGATTCTGTTACATCCATCAGTGGTTGGTCGACATCAACAGAAGGACCTATCACAGCAGTGCTATAAAATATTTTAAATATATTAATTATATCAAGAGAATTACTTCGAAAATCTTGATAGCAGTGTGGGACATAGAGATCTTATTTATTATGACAGAAATAAAGAAAACATAAACAAAAGCTGTCAATCACATAATGCATCGAAACACAAAAACAAATACAGCTTTATCACAAATACAATAGGTAAGTAAGGTAAATGGGAATCGGCGTGGTTATTGATGCGCAATATTTAATTTACAATATTTAATATAAAATTTACTTTAATCTAAAAGTCAAACGTTTCAACTATTTTTTTTTTAGCCATCTTCAGTGACAATTTACAATAGTTATTTACGAGAATTAAATGTAACTGTTTTAAATTGTCACTGAAGATGGCTAAAAAAGATAACGTTTGACTTTTAGAATAAAGTAAATTTTATGTAAATTAAATATTGCGTACCAATAACTACGCCGATTCCCATCTGCCTTACTTATCTATTGTATTTTTAATTCGGGAAATCTTGTTAGGTTTTTATTTCTCACAAATGTTGTTAAATACGCAATCATTATAAAAAATATAAGCGGTATTAATTTGCATTCATCACACCCATATGAAGATATGTTAGATATAGATCAAATAGAGATTTAAGAGATAATAGAGAATAAAAAAAGAATAACGCTTAACTTTTAGTAAAACTTTATATATAGTGTTCATGCAAGCGTGATATTAGTTACAATAGTTAATCGGGACAGACAATATTACCCAGTGCCAAGAGCCAAAATTGTAGCTTCTTGTACCAATGTCATTTGATCAATGGTGGACCTGTGATCAATCAAAAATTCAATAGAATGGATTATATCAAAAAAAGATATTATGCTATATTTAATCCCTATATGGCATGATAATTTTATATATAATATGTATATAAACTGTAAATAAAATTTAAATTATATATTTAATTAACTGGAAATAAACAAATTTGGAACATATATATTGTAGAGATTATAAAAAATATGAAAACAGAACATTAATTTATTTCAATCAAATAGAAGGAAATTTAACAAATACATATTACTTGTTATTTTTATATCTCTTAATACATATAATGTAAGTTAAATAATAACGAAAATTGTTTTGTATGGCAAGTTAGTAATATGGACCATCTCAAACAAGATGTTTTGTCAATTTGATTTAAAATTGTAAAAAAGGAAAATAAAAGTAAACAGCAAGAAATAGTTTCAGAATTAATCTGTTATAAAAGCAGGAGCACTCGGTAAAAGAATAATGTTTAGTATTTATTAGTAATAAAATCGGAAACTTACTGTAATATCGTAGCACGATGTATTTTGTCCTATTCATATATTTATATGAATAAAACTTCATACAATGTACATGTAAAATGTAAAAAAATCTAAAAGATGCATTTATGTTGGGTATCAATAAATAACATGTCTAATTAGGATATCTCCATAAATGACACTGTGTAAATTGTACTTTTTCTTAATATTATATATATATATATATATATATTTATACTGACAGGTAATTTACTATAATTTACTGCATTTACTGATTTACTGTATTTCCTGATGGGCACTAAATAGGCACTGTATAGGATAGGAACATTCTGTAAATGTGGGATAAGATAAAGAATAATTATAAATAAAATTTTATTTTTATGAAGAAATTGGCTTTTTTACAGATAATTTAGTATATATTTTCTATTTTATCATAAATACAAATGCTCGTTTTTTTTATCAACGAAGAATATTCGAATTATTTATTGGAATGTATATATATTGTTTGTTATTAACAAATAAATAGTGCATAACAATAATATATACTTATTCATAATACAATAATACGAATTTCATTTCATAACAATTAAAATGTCGACTAGATACATCAATTTACTACATTATGAAAACATGTGCCAAGTCCTCCCCCGAATAAACAAAACATCCAACAACAACTCATGATTTTAATTTTAATTTTCTTCGATTTGAAATCAAGTTTTCTTTGGAGAAAATATTGAGTCATCATTTATAATAACTTTTTTGAATATGATATATTTTTATATCTAAAATTTCAAATAAAAATTCTGTTGTGGTTCACATTAAATTAACTAAAAGATATTACTTTATTATTTTATGCATATAAGAAATTTAATTTTCATTTATTTCTAACTTAATGATTATTAACGTGTCAATAATTTCGTTTAAGAAAAATCGACTTCAAATTCGTCAGAAAACCTGTCATTAAAATTAGTCATGAATCATGAGAGATGCACTTCAATTGCAATAGATTTTATACATAGCTACATGTAAACTGTTAAATAATAACAAATATCTATCTCAAATATCATAAGTATAATTTATAAGGAATGATTGCTACATAAAGTGGCGGTTTGATTCGTAATCAACTCGAATAAGATTATTGTCTTGATCTAAGAATCGAGCCTATAAAGTACCTGATTTATGTAGGGAGATGGGGAGTCAAATTCGGTTTCGTCACCCCATTGTTGGGTGCCGGGGCCCAACAAAGTATGAGTATCTTCATTGCACAGCCGCTCGGGAAAGTTTCCCCCGTCTCCAAAGCTGCAAGCCATACCCTACCTTCTACTCGATGTTATCCCATGTCTACCATTATGGCGTAACTATCTTATTATATTTTCATTTTTTTAATTATTTTCTCATTTGTTCAATTTATTTATATGTAATCGACTTCACTAAATCAGGAAGAAAGATCATAAAGGAAGTAAAAGAAAGATACTTCCTTTAAAGAAAGGACACAATTGTACATACATAGTTACACCATTTTTATACTACAAGTTTGTAAGAACCAGATGCACAATACCTCACGTAATAATTATAACAACTTTACGCAAATTAGTCTTCAACTAAAATTCATATAACATAAGACATGTAGCTTTACCACAAAAAAATCAATCTCTTAATTTCTTTATATAGATACATTTGAAGACACATCAAGGTTAAATCTTTCAATGTACATTCTGTAACAAATAGATGATGTTTATCTATACATGAGATATTAAAATATAATTAGTAAGATATATTTTTATAAAAACTGCAGACTTTAAAAATTCATTTTTTTTTGTTTTCTAGTATCATTCATCCTTTCAGTAAATTTTGATTTCAAAATATATTTCAATAAAAAACAAAAAACACAAAAATTTACTGGAAATCATAAGTATGCAAATTGTAGACTATACCAATCCTACCAAATATAATTGTAGTTGCAAAGAATATTTCTCAGAAGCAAAATAAAAGATGATTTGATTTTATAGACCTTGCAGACAAATTGTATAGAAAAGCTCGAGTTATATAACAAAGTCATATTATAAGATTGGGGATATAGTAATAGCTATAGAAGTGATAGTCAGCGTCAAACAAAAAGATACAAATGCGTTGCATGCAGCCTGGAAGCACTTAAGGTCTTATCATTACTCTGGAACTCTATAAAAAAAATAAAGAAAAAGATACACAAAAATATAAACATATATAAAGGCAAAAAAATATTTTTTGCATATAAGAACATCAAAACAAAATAGTAAACTTAAGAGCAAATTATTGAAAGTTTCTTTTCCCAAATCTTTTTTATTCAAAACTTAAATTTTAAGAATTTATATATATATATATATATATATGTAAATCGCATCTTTATAGCAAAGAAATAAACGAGTTCCACAGCAAAGAGTTAAGGTAATTAATAATGCATTTTTGCTTTAAAGCTTTTATAATGCTGACCTGTTCTGAGTACTGCCCATGGAGTCATAAGTATTGGGTGTGCCCTGGTGTTGCGATCTTACTGGGTAGACGACACCATTTCCCAGACTAGAACACATCCAATGCAACCACTCCAATTTAAAAAATCTGAATCTCCTATCTTTTTATCACTCATAAAAGTGCAAATAAATGTAGTGCTCATAAGAGTGAGAGTTGAAAGTGCGGGAGTTGCATACTAACTAACAGTGCACCAAAATGAAAAATTTTTATATCCATATTTTCTAAACAAAAAAAATTTGCATCGGAAAACAGGAAGATTTTTTACACAGGAATATAGATGGAAACAGCTAAAACTTCAACTTATGTAACAATCTATCTGCATCCTGCTCTGATTTGATGTAAAATACATTATCATACACCAGATTTCTCTTTGTGTAATTACTATAACACAGAGATATAATAAAGTAGTTTCAACATATATATATCCTTCTATCACAATAACAGATGAAAATTCATGAAAACTTTTTATGGAAAAAAAAAAATAAATATTTGATATATAATATTTTCATACACATAATCGGAGCATTCTCCATGTAGTTACAGATAGAATATATAGAGAAAAATACTAATCAAACAAAAATTAAAAAAATTGTATCACATAAAACATGCGATTATTTTGCTTCTTCGATGGAAAATAAATCTTTGATAACATCAGAATTGCTCACACTTTATATTCAAGGCCCTGCAGTACTTATGTTACCGTATTTCAAATTTCGTTTAAGTATGCCAAACCGTATAGTTGTTTTTTTTATGGTAAAGATTATGATAGGCGGTATACTAGAAGCATACAAATTGATATAATAGTTCAGTTATTATATATTGTGCAATTGGTTCCCACTTTGTAAATTGTACAATTTTTATCGCGCATAAAGTATTATAAAAAGAATTAAACGCACGTACCTACTAAATATAGGTAGAAACCAGAGTCGCGGATTGTCACCAAATACCTCCTGAAAATTATTGTATTTCCCCAGACTAAATCCATCTTTATCCTTTCCTGTCCGAAACATAGGTGCTCTAAAGGCCTCTGTAAAGACAGTTACACGGTGCTGATTAAAGATTATAGAAAAATATTGTAACATTAAGATGAAAATAATATATATATAAATACCTAGCGTCGATCTATTATGAACAACGAGATAGCAATGATAGCAGAAAAGGGAGGTAAGACTGATTGCAAACATCAACGCAACAAAAAAAAGGAATAGTAGATGAAATCTACCCATTCCGTCTAATTCACCCTACAAAGAAAAAGAAAAAGTTTATATTAATTACAAGTCGCAAGTTAAAATGGAATTTATATATAAATGCATCTTGGCATTATTTAATCTGAATAAATCATTTTCGTATTAATTTATTGTAAAAGAAAAAAAAGATTGTACTCACTTTCCAAAATTGTATAAAGTATTGCAAAGATGTGGCGGTAATAAACATACAGTAGACAAGTCCGTATGCCGGCTTCAGCATGAAAAATTTGTAATTGTGGAAGCCTACGCAATTATTCACCCATGGACAATGATGATCCATTTTTAAGACACAAGTGCCACATACGCTACAGTGGTGTGCCCTATCAGGCTTTATTAACTGACACTTCTCGCAAAATCGCATAGCTAAAGAAAGAAAGAATATTATCAGCATATAAGCTAGAAACTCTTGGAACAATTCGTATTTTTTAACTATAAATTTTTTTTATAACAATAATAAATTAAATTATTACCTCCTTTCATGGTGCGATTAGTAACCGGAAGGTCTTGTGCAAATCTTTCCAAAATTTGTCTCTGCGTTTCCTCAGTTTCAGCCTGTTGCAATTTCTCCATTTCGACATCAGGTATTTTAAACTATAAGAGTTAAGAAAATATACAGATCATTTGTATTATAAAATCTAATAAATAAAATTATTTATAAATTATGTTACATAAATATTTATAAATTATTTTTAATAGACGATTTACCTTATCTGGCACTGGCATTAAATTTGTGTACACCGTCTGCCAATACGACCAGAGAAACATCAGAATCAGGATGTGGAAGAAAAGCAGATAGAAAGCTGTTAACATACACAGGTAATAAAAGTGTTGTATGTGTGTGTAACATGTGGACTGCTTTCCATAATTAGAATAATGTCTTCAACGAACATAAAAGAACACTAAAAGTTACAATTATAGAAATAATAAAATATTAAAATAAATTGAAAGTTACAATTATAGAAATAATAAAATATTAAAATAAATTGAAAGTTACAATTATAGAAATAATAAAATATTAAAATAAATTGAAAATTAAATACTAAATTAAAAGTATTAGTTAGTACATAAATAAGATAATATATAATACGAACCTTTTTGAACATAATTGTCTATTGTATCTGAAACAAACGTGAGACGTAATGTAATACAGAGAAATACTTTCGAGTAGAAGATTTATCTTATAACTATGCCACTGATCTATAAACATATACGCATATATATCTGCAGTAGGATTGCAAAATAAGACTTCCGCAATTATAAAATGGCGAAAACATCATTGCGTATTTATTTATTACGTAAATATAGAGTGAAATTTCGCTGTTTCATTTCACCCCCGTCCGTCACGTCTTCGCATAGATATAAAAAAAAAGCGTAATGCTACTAAGATTAAGATCTACGCCAAGATAAAAAGAAAACTCCAATTGTTCAGTTACGTCACTTTTGCAAAACAAAAATCGCGGAGGAGGGGAGGAGGGGGAAATAGATCGCGATCGCAAAAGCGCGCGTTTTCGTCGACGCGACACGCGAGGCGAGGCGGCAAGATGAAGTCAATAACGTGCGACGCGTTATCGCGACTCGAACCCGGCAAGTTTGATCTGACCGAGGCGAAAACCAGGAACATCCAGTCCGCGTGTGAGGTACTCACAGTAGCACAGTTGCACCACGTAGGCGTAGTAGGACCAGGCGACGATCGTCAGGATGAAGATCACTGGCAACCACTTGACGGCCTTGACGCACCACCAGCACCAGCCGTTTTGCTTGCCCATGTTCTGTTCACCGGCGGGTCGACGGCGGCGTGCGTAAGAGTGCGTGTCCGCCGTTCGCGGCCTTCATCAACAACGCGTTAATCCTCAGCCCGCCGAGACGCAGCGGCATCGCAGCACTGCACTCCCCGGGGACTTGCGAGACCGCTTCGCGCGCGCCAGGCACTCGGTCTCTTCTCCGTCCTCCTCCCTCAACGGATTCCGCGTCGAACGTGCGGCTGCCGAAGAGCGCGAGAACACGTCATTGCGCAAGCGAGGCCCGTCCGCGTTATCGCGGCGGCATCACACCGCCTTCCCGACCGACGTTCAGCGAGCGCCGCTGACGTGCTGTGCTGCTGACGCTGACGAGAGCGCCGGGACGAACCGCCGGGACTCGCGAGACCCTGAAACCGACGTTGCGACTCGTGACCGCGACGGACGCTCGTCAAATCTTATTTTGGGCTGGCCGCACTCGCTGATCCACAGTCGCCGCCACTGCTTTGCACACCGCACGCAACGCGCACCGTCTCATTCCGCGACGTCCCCGACCCGCCGACGTCGCTCCGTTTCATCATGTCCGCCACACCAGTTTTTGACAGCCGAGCCCCCCGATCGAGCAGCAAGTGCGTTCGTTAGGCCACTCGCGCGTCTCGCGCGCGCAAAAATCGCCCCCTACAATACGTCTTTTTCATCGTTAAATTTGCAAATAGCTTCTTTCGTTTCGTGGCTGAACTTCGTCTTTCCCCCTTTTCTTTTATTTTGTCAACTAATCATGTACTTTTTTTTTTTACTTTAAACGCAAAAAATTAACGCAATACGAAGAACAGACCCAACATTTTCCCGCTATCGGCCTATCGCTGTTGGACGACAACTGTTGGCATTCGTGTCGCAGAAAGATTTGCGGCGCAGCCAACCACAAGGTGAAAATTTTGGACAAAACATCGGCCGAATTGTGGTCACAATGCGAAGCTGTGATCTGCTCCAATCTGAAAAGCCTCGTAAAAGTCGTAAATTTAAATCGAAAAGAAAAAATAAATTAATCAAAGGCACGTTTAATAATTTTTATGACACACCACACAATTCCTCTTTGTAATTTTTTCGGAGCACAAACATTACGATTGTGGCGACCCTGGTCAAATTGTCAAGGAAACCGCAGCGACCGCAGCTTTCAAATCTTTTTGCAATGACGGCTAACGCTGACGAGGATAAACTTTTCCGCATAAACAATCGTTTGTGTCACTTTTCGAGAAACGGTGCGTATCTAGCGGTAGCGTTTCAAGCGAATCTGCTCATAAAAGATGCAAGGACTCTCGATACCCGCCAATCGTTCGTGTTCGTAGACGTGATACAGGTTAGTCGGTCGACGACTGGAAAGACGATTCGATTTAAATCCTCATCATTTCAATGCCATTTTTTATCGTATATAATAATCTCTATACTTTCATCTTTGTCACGTTACAGTGTATGGAGTGGTCCTTAAACAGCGAGTACATTCTTTGCGCGAATATAAAACGATCTGTCATTCAGATATACTCGATACGCTACCCCCAATGGAAATGTAAACTTACCGAGGGCAGTGCGGGTTTGCAAGATGTTACCTGGGCTCCGGACAGCAAACACATTCTCGTCGTAGCAGATTTTCATGTAAGCGCCGTATATTTATCAGTGGCATTTGCGTTTTACTGTAAGGAGAGGAGAAAGCTAACCTATATAAAACCGTTGGTGCAAAGCAAAAGATTGATTTATTTATTGTTATTTGCAGATTCAAATATCTGTTTGGAACTTGGAAGAGCAGTCGGTATCGTACATACAGAATGTAAAATCGTCTTCCTTCGATCAATTACGTTTCAGCCCCAATGGTAAGCGATTGGCAGTGATAGTTACGGAAGAAGGTCAAGATAGAGTAGAGATTTACAAGACTGAGAATTGGAGGATAAGTCGAGTGAGTAGCCAACTAAACAATATATAAGTTAAACGATATACAGATCTTTTCTTTAAGATTATTAAGAATTTATATTTTACACAAATATTTTATATGTGAGATTATTTTCGTACAATTTTACAAAAATAATACAATATTGAGGTAGAAATCTATAATCATAAAAATTATGACTCCAATAACGGCAGTTCTATATTGTGTATTTTAACAGAATAGTCAGAACTACAGCTTGCTAATTGCAAGTCGTTATACGAGTGATTGACAGGTCGAAACATGAGTCTTTTCACAGTTAAATGATGAGCCTGGGAAGTATCATACTCGAATAGTTTTGACCATGTATTGTCTAATTCTGTATTGACTTTTTGAATTTCTATGCGTCCTTTCTCGTATCCGACTGCCAGAAGATGAGATCCTTGTGCGATACAAATACTTGGCGCGAAGCATAACGCCGTAACCGATTGGTTTTGCATGTCCAGAATCATCCTCGGTATAATATTCTCTTGTACCGTGCTCGTGGACCATATGGCGATTTTTCCGTCTCTGGATCCCGTCGCGAAATAATTCGAATCTTGCGTCCAAGCGCAGCACCAAATTATTCGCGAATGCGGACTGTCTTTTTTGGAACTAGCGGCAATTAACTCGTAATCTCCATCCGTGGCTTTAAATAACGACCATCTTCTGTCTCTGGATACAGACAGTAAATATTTGTCGTCTGGGGAAAACTCCATTTGCGTCACAGTCAGTTGATGATAGATCAGTTTTTGAACTTGTAGCCATGTGTCGGTGGCCCATAATAAAATCGCCGCGTGTTCTTGAGTAGTCGATTTGCACGCTGTAGCCAGCAATTTCCCGTCGTGTCTCGCTGCCATACAGAATATCTCGTAGCCATGTCCGTAAAGCTTATTCGTTTCAGGCCAAAGTGTGTTTTGCATCAATTCCTCTTCTGTGGGTGGTTCGTATACGTTTTCCGTCGTTGAATTTTTTTCTCCGTCGTCTTCTCCACAGTATGTGGCTTTATTCGTTAACCCGAGAGAGGGTACAGCAGCACTGTAGGCCTTCATGGATTTGAAGTCCTCGACATTCGCCAGCGATCTTAAGTGATTCTTGAACGTAGACGTGGCCGTGAAAATGCGCACCACTTTCTCGTCCGCTCCGGAGACATATATGTGTGGCGCTAACATAGCTAAACAGGCCATGTCGTATCCATGTACCTGAGGACGTGCAATCTCGTGCCACAGTTCCCCAAGATCATCATCTTTCCACGGCGCATGAATTCTTGTGGTTTGGTCGGTACTGGCTGTGATCAGAAATCTGTAATCATAATAAGTATGCCATAATTATTCCTTTCTAATTTTCAACTTTATCTATTCTGATCTAAAATCCACTTGAAGTAATTTTCACGTTTACAAAACAAAAAATATTTTACGAGATTAAATAGGCATAACCCACAAAACAATTGGAATAAAAAAAAATTCAAAAGACTATGAATCCAGATTTTTTTTTTTCAAAATTTAACTTCAAAGATTTCAGAATTATTTTTTGAAGATCAGATGTAGAAAGAGAATACAAAGATTCTATCTAAAGTTTAAAAAATTAAGAAATCATACTTATTCCAGGATAATAATGTAACATTTTAAAATGTCTAACAATTGCATTTATTTACAATCTCTAAACATTTAAAGATTAAAATCACATCTAAGACTATAAAAAGAAATCCCTTCTGCATGAGATTTATACAGACCTTCCTTTCGGTTCCCAACATAAATCGACTGCTTCAGAGAAGTGTCCACCGGGTGTAGAACGTGGAAGCCACTTGTTCATTTCCCGAGAATATTTCCAGATATGAAAAGAGCCTTGGTAACCATGCGCCAATATATGTAGTCCATCCGGGCCAAACTTACAGCCGTAAAAACCCAGAGAATTACCACCGACTTCCCCGACGCGCACTGCCTCTGTCCACATTCCATTCATGATCTCAGCTGGCTCCCATATAATCATAGTTTTGTCCATTGAGGATGACAGCAATTTCATCGTTTGACAGTTATCTGTTTTTACAGGCTGCCAATGCACACCGTAAACCCAGCTTTCGTGACCGGAGAGCACAGATTCCAGAGTAATGTCATACTGCTTGTCGTTCACCGCAAAAGTATTGCTCTCCTGCTTAAGTTCGTCGCTCGATTCTTCGACAGTTTCGTTAATTCTCCACAGTCGTATCATGCTGTCCTTCGAGCCGGTTGCGAGGAAAAGATTTCCGTCGCCGTCCCGAGTGAAATCCATGCACAACACCCAGTCTTCGTGCCCGACCAAACGCTGGACTCTCACGAACGATGGCTCCAATTCGGATTCTGCGATGTACAGCAGGACAGAAGCGTCCTCCAGTGCTACAGCCAAGAGGGGACATTTGCCGCTTGGCAAATACGTCAGGCGGCAGTGCATCGGTAATCTTCCTCCAAAAGTCAAGGACTGAATCTGCTTGGCGTCCTCCGTGTTTTCTCTCAGCCATAGTCTTATATCGCCGTTGATCGAACCTGCGCACACCAATAGCCTCGCCAGCGTGGTGGAGGGTACATCGACGTCGGACAATTGCAGGGAATCGGCGAAGGCGACCGGGCTCTCTGCACTCAACACCGAGGTACATCGGAACGCGATGTCGTCCTCGCTCCAAATGATCACAGTACCGTCCACGGAGCCGGACAGCAACTCCGATTCCGGCGCGCCGGCAGTCCTTGGCTTTATCCAGTGCACCGTGCTGACACGGTCGCGATGCCGGTGCAACGTGTGCGTCACGCGACCGATGTGCGAGCGCGGCTCGTATACAGCGATCGCATTTCGCGTCCCGTAGCAGAGCAGCCCGTTGGTGCCCCAGTCGGCGCAGTGCGGGACGCGGTTGCACGAACAGGCGGCGTAGCACGTCGTCATGTCGCGGATAAGCTTGGATCGTTGCGGCGAGGACGACGTTTCAAACATTCGCGCACGCGGTCACAACAACACGGCGGCAGCCATATTTTTGAGACACGTGCGCGGCAACAAGGAAGGGAATCTGATGTTTGCTCTTCTCAATTGAACATCTTTTCTTCTCCGCGCACACGCGCGCGCGTGTCTCTTATGTGCCTCGCATTTTTTAAACGCAAAAAAAGTATAACTTGAACAGCTGTAAACAATTTTCGACAATTCTAGATTATCTTTATTATATCGGCGTGTTCGAGAATGGACTTTACTACTGTCGGTAAAGGAAATCAAGTCTGCAGCAATGAAAATCACTTGTCTCTCCTTTCAATTTGACAGCCATGAAAACTCCCTAGAATCACGCACATCCTGGACTGGCGCGCAAAATAATGAATCGACTTTACTGTTTCAGAAACTTATCTGCGAGCGTTTACGCGGCATCGACGGGATTCGCTGGTCGCCGAACGACGAATTGCTATGCATATGGTGTTCCTCCCCCGCTGAGCCCAAGCTCATCATTTATTCCAACGCGTTGGAGAAACACGTGACGGCGTTTTCCCCGCTGGAAACGGCACAGCCGTCCACGGCGTGCAATCATGGGAAGGAGCTGAGAGGAATTGAAAATGTCGAATGGATCCCGAGCGGACAGTTGTTGGCTGTAATCGGGTTTAATGAAGTGGTAATTTAATCATATTGTATATAACTGTATTATATATTATTTCACTTTTTTGTTTCACATATTTAATTATTTTAAATCTGTACCCCTTCAGGTCGTCCTTCTTAATTACATCACGTGGCAACCGTTGTCGAAGTTATACCTGGATCCAGTAATCAGGGAATGTAATTACTTAACGAAAGTATACAAGGAATGCGCCGATTCGGAGAAAGCTTCTAATAAACGCTTCGCATCCTGCGAGGAACGTGTTTGTAAGTAAATGATAAGTAAATGATTGGCGAGTCAAAGTGTGTCACGCTCAAAACATTTTTTAATTCCGAATACGGAGACGGTATCTTAAGCACCTGATTTATTTTGTACTTTTAGTACGCGAAATACACGAGCGGCCCATATGCATTGAAATTGGAAGGAAGGATGATAACGACAATTTCTCGATAGCAAAGATGAAATTGTGCGAATTTAGCACATGCGGACAATACCTGGCCTTGAAGCACGAGCTTTATCCTACCACACTGTGGATATGGGACATCTGTACGGACTATTTGGATTATTTGCTGCTTGAAAATCCCATTACAGGTATGTGCAGTGTTAAAAATATATTTATTAAATTTATTTATTTTCTAAAAATGATATTAAGATAGTAATTTTATTATCTTTAGCTGTCAAATGGAGTCCCGTTCGGCCACAATTGTTCGTGCTCTCCGAATGTACGCGCGTGTACGAATGGACCCGAAAAGGCGCAAGATCTGTACCCATGTCTAAAAATATGTCCGTTGTGGACGCGTATTGGCACCCTGTGGGAGAAAAGGTTGCATTGTGCGGCTATAATAAAGCGATGATTTATGAAATCACCAATTCGAATCTTAATAAATAGTAATTATTTTGATTTTAAATCTATTATACATATATTTGTAAATATTATAAATACTAATACTGATATATTAAGTAAAATATGCTTCAAATCTATACTGGAATGTTTCAGAAATTATATATCAATTTTATATATACATTAATTTCTAATTAATTGATGTTACTAAAAACAAAACGTTTTGTAATACTTATTGCAGATATGTTTGCAATTCACGAACATTTGGGCATCTCAAAACAGTAAAATCTGCAATTTATATTACCTAGCTTCGCTCTATGATCTGATTGAAGATTAAGATTTATGGATAAACATTTAGCATAGTCGTTGCAACGTATATAGATCGTCCATCGTCCAAGATGTTGCGTGAGAAATAGATAGTAGCAGTTTTCTCTATTCAGGAACGTAGCACAGTATATCATACCTTGATCACCGTTTTATCCTTTCATTAATTCTTTCAAAGTAATATATTTTAGTATATTCATGATTATCGTACACATATCACAAAGTACATTAAAACCCTACAAGCTGATGCAATTTATTTATATGCCAATTTATATATTTTATTAATCTACGCGTTTCATTAACAAGCTTAATTAAAATATATTCTTTTTTTAATTTTATTATTTGGAAAAAATAGTTATTATTTTTACATATATAAATTACTTAACGTTTGTAAAATAATACGAGAAATATTAATTTTTTGCACAATTTCATTTTTTTTCAATCAAACTTTGGTGATATAAAGATTTAATTTATTCAAACAACTACGAGAATTTGTAATTTTGACATTTGATTTCAGAAAGTGTATTATTTCGAACGATTTATTTCGTAAATCCTCGAACGCTCGAGAAGCGCAACGGAAATGGAGTGGCGTCTACATTACTGTCGGAGAAAGCGAGTATCCGCGAATGGTGACGCGGCCATCCATTTACGATACATTATATACGGAGAGGATCAAAAGATTCTAAGCGAGCATGATTATGCGCTTTATGTACTGACATGCAATTCCCCACCCGCGTATGGAGAAAACATATTTTTCAGCGATTCCTCTCCCGGAGGGCGAAGTAGCTCGACTCCGCTTGCCACACCGGCGTTATCTTTCGTTTTATCAGTAAGAAGACGATCACTACGTGGGAAACGCCTATTCTCCCGTCACGGTGTTAGCCGTTGCAAGTAAGATCGGCAAGACATTTTATTTCGCGTCGTTGTGGGCGACCACGAAAGGAGACAACGAAATGAAAGTGTATCCGATATGGCGAATCGAAACGTTTAAATTATCGAAAGAGATTTTTCCCATTTATAGGAAATGAAAGCTTATTTGATATAACATTTATCGAATCGCGAGCTGTTGCACGGCAAATTTTTCTCTCTATCCAATGACACAAAGATCAAAAGATAATTTTTTCGATCCACGAGTAAAATGTTAATCCGAAATGCCATCCTACATCACCCGCGATTATTGCGTGTGTATAATCGCAAGAGCGTGCGGCAAGCATTATGATTAAATCCGTCGCTTTTCTATGCGTCTAATTACACGTACTCTCTAACGGTTAATTAGCCGAATAGAACGTGGGTTTCGAATAAGCGCTTCTGTGCGATCCCCGAAAATTACGAATACGCGTGAACCACGTTATACGCGTTCAAGTCGAATCAACAAGTTTGGCAGAAAAGGATCGTCGTAAGAGCACATTTAAATTTATTTTGTTAATCTCTCGATCTCCTTCGATTCTTTCTTTCGACAGCCACACCTTCCGGAATATCTAGGTATCTATATAATTAGCAGAAACGTGACGTGTAGAAACACATTCTTTTCCCCTTTATTTTTCGCAAGTTACCATACGCGAGCAAGCGACGATTTGCCACGCGGCCTCACGTCTACATGGAGGAGTACATTTCCTACTTTCTCCGCGATCCGTTCGTCACACAGCTCGTACATACATATATTTACCAATCTACTTACAAACGTCCGTCTTTTGTTCAATAGTGCCTGCTTGCGGTAAATCGAGGAAGATTTATCCATGAAGATCGATCTGTTTCTGCAATCGCGAAAGGCATGGAAATATTTAAGCGTCATCCCGTAATAATATTTCATCGATTTACTGCAACACGTTGAAAATATTTGTAATTTTATCATATTTTACAATTGATAATAAATATGTTATTATATATCTATCTCTTTTTAAAAAATCTGCAATTTAGTGGAAAAATCTATCACAGACGCGAATTTTAAGCAGCTGTATATGTAGCAGGTAATTTATCATGAATATTATTGTTCTATATAGTATCTTCTCTCTTTTTTTATAAGAGAAATTTTTTTTTACTAACACTAATGACGCTCCCACGACAATTAGGCATTGTTATCGTTGTGAACGAAAGAGCTTCGGTGTTTTCTCGGTGTCGGTGGTTTCTCCCGCTATGTAAACGCACGGTTCGTGGTATACTATCGCTGTAATATGAACTTCTTCTCTTTCCTGTACGAACTACAGAAGGACCGTCGCTTTTACAGCTCTGCATGCAATTGTTGCAGTGCTCATCATAAAAAAAGGCTCACCTCAAGATTTTTCGCGTACAAACAGTCGCGGCAATCAAACGCGGCGTATCCAGTTATCTTTAAAAATTTATAGCATTGAAATCAGATATGATATTCGATATCCGCGAAAGAAATTAAATAAAAGGCCAGATGCGCATATGCTAAACTATAAAATTTGCTCCCATCCCCGCTCCGTCATTATTAGCCGTTCCGCGATTTTTATTCCCAAACCAAACAAGAACACGGTGAAAAAAACGTCGTGAAAATTACTGTCGATCATGATGGTGCGCTGTCTACATGTGGGAGCACGGCAATGCACGTGCACACGTTCGTACATAGCGGCGAACCGCTCACGTTCACTCGCGCGTGTTTAGCGCACACACGGTGTTTAGAAAGTCCGAGCAACGAGAACACCACCATCGACGGTGCGGAGGGTACGCCTTGGTACCAGAAGGTAACGTTTGCCGAAGGTAGTGCACGTCGGCTTAAGTGGGGGCATCTCTAAGCTAGCGGTGCCGGCGCTTCCTCGACGCTCACTGCTCGTCGACCAGTCGAGCCATCGAGACCGGGTGGTACCGGAACGAGAAGGAGAGAGGAAGAGAGAGAGAGAGAGTTTTTAAATCCGTCGGTCGACTTAGGAAGAGGAAGAGACTGACGTTCCGGGTCGTTTGACCGTGTATTTTGTGCTACGCGGATTAAGCCGGATCGGGAGGATGGAGAAAGATCAGCCGGACTCTCTGGCAACTGTCGCCGTCGTCTCAGAGAAGATGCCGCAGACCCACAGCCACTATGCACCAAGTGAGGTCTACTCCACCACCGAGCCACCACCGGTAAGCTTCAACATATGGATTAGAAACGGTCCAAAGACGTTTCAGACCTAGCGGATCATCTACCGTCATCCATTCTCATCTATTCGTTCTTCGACCAAATTGGAACCAACTTTTTCTCAGCAGAAGGAACTGGGAAGATCATCATTTGTTGCAAAAACTTCCAATTTTCAACGTCAATATCTCTACAATTTTCGAATTGCACATCTGTTAAAGTAAAATTCATCTGAATAATTTAAGTAAGAACAATAAGATCTTTGTCATCTATTTGCATATTTGAAGCTGCCGAGAAGTTTTTGTTCCAATTATCTATGATTCAAATATTGTATTTATTCAATATTTTCTTTATTAAAAAATTTGATAATAAAAGTTGAGAAAGAATCGGTGATCCGCTAAGGTCCAGAACACATTTCATTAATATTGCACGTAAAAGCGATTTCTACATTTGCTTGCACTGCAAATTAACACGCATCATTGCACGTTAAAGAGTATCGTAAAAATTTGCTAGCGTGTATAATTGTACAAAAAAAAAGAGATTTGATCATGTCTAGCACAAGTTCTGTCGAACAATATGGTAATCTTACATTAGTTAGTTTTGCCAAATTTCTTATGTATAACCGTGCATATTTCTTTCCTTTAAATTAAAATGCACAATTAGTTCTTAAGCAAAGCTTGAAATTAATTTATTTGAAAAAAATGCTTTAAAAAAATCCATATCTTATGTATTGTTCTAACAATTTATAAAAATCGCAAAACCGAAAACCGTATATGTCGTGAGAGATGATAATTATTGCACTTTTATTGTAGTGTAAATTTTACTGCTGTCATGAAATATTATTATCGTAGAAACAAAACAAATATAAAAAAGAAACATTTTTAAAGTCGTTTCTATCGTTTCGCTCACAGAAGCATTCTTTTAAAAAAAATCTTCAATTTTAGAAAATTTTTTTAAATATAACTAAAAGCTATAACTTTTTAGCTTATTTGAATATAATTACAATATACGAAACTTTTATCTCTTTTGCTTCCTTCAACTAAATAATTTTTACCTGCAATTTGATAATATAATTTTCAATTACAAAAAATAATTTCATTACGTGTAAAAAAATGCTAAAAATAAATCACGATGCTCTATCTGACTTCATGTGAAGTCATTCATCAAGCAATTACAATGATTAGAATGGCGGATAATTTCGTACACGTGCGATTGTGTTCTTGAATAGAGAAATAACAGATAATAGCGGGTAGAGTGTAGAAGTAATCGCAGTTCGAAAAATGGCATTCTATCGTAATTGAGCATCAACCATAATGAGAAAGTTACAACAAAGAAATTGCTCGTAGATTTCTCATACTATCCTTTGTTTGTCGGATGATCCACACAATTTTACTTTGTATTTGCATAATTACATCCCTATCATCGTTATCGATGGTAATGACAATCATTCGGTTTCATTCCCGCGAATATAATTAATATTTCAATATACAAAACGGTTTTAATAAAATTTTGGATGAAGAGCTGGAAAAATTGAGCGAAAACAATAGGTTGTCAGATAAAAACTTCTTCTTGGAAGTTCATATATATATATATTTCTCGCTGTAGACATTCTTATGCAAATTGACCATATTTTCAGAGCCATAAGCATGCTAGAACATTATGCTCCAGAATATCGGTATAGAATACTATGGTAGAATATTTGCTATTATCGCGATTATTGTTTTTCTAGAAGTGAATAGACACGTGAATAGACGATATCCAGCGCCGTGAACGAAATAATGCTATGAAATAGTATTACGTAACACGCACAATTCGGCTGCTATATATTTCACGAATCGATGAATTGAATACAAGCAATTAGAATGACAATATCGCATTTTGCTGACTGATATTGTTGGCGTTGCGTAATACACACGCGAAAGCCTTTCGAGACGCAGAGCGCTTCGAATCGAATAAAATTTGATTGTTTGCAAATAGGGTCAGTGTCAGAAAATTGTCATCGTAGAAATGCATGTAGGCTTAGTTGTCCGATGTGTAAAGATAACTGCAAAGTTTAATCGTTCGGCAATATCGCAAAAAGATGTACGGAAAGATTTTTGAAGGACAGAAGTCGGAATAAAAAAGAAAAATAGGGTAAATAAGACGATTTTCCTAGAAAATGTGCTAATGACTCATGATCTCGGAATAAAAGAAGCAGTTTAATGCAGCGTAAAACACAACAAATGGCTTGTAACCTTATTATTATTATTATTATTATTATCATAGAGAACACATTGTTGATAGATATTACTTTTCTTATAATGTTATACCTATGTATTTTTTTAAATCTGTGTTGATTATTTTTGAAAAAATAGATTAAGAATAATTAATAAAAAAAAATTAAGAGAATCAGTTTAAAATATTGAATATGTTCTATTATATTAGCATTTTTTTAAATAAACGTACATTTAAGACAAATATTTTTTATTTATTATTCAGTGATACAAAAAAGAATTTTATATATTGCATATTTTCTATTATTTTCTATCTCTGTGAAATGTATATGGTTACGTGTACACTTGCTCATTTATCAAGAAATTTATTCTTCGAGAGTATTTAATGATAGCACTATACCGTACAGCAATTTAATACACGAAATTTGCGGCACGTTCGTTAAACAAGGAAAATAGCAAGGATTTAATTACATCAGTAATTACAACGAGCAAAAGTGTGTGACTCTTAATACATATTTACGGCGAAAAGTATCTCCTCCGAGACGCGTGCACTTCCGCCGTGGAAATCGCGATCGTGTCATCATTAAAGATGGACGCTTAATTGACTAACGAGAGAGTTTGAGAAAAAGCGTCGTCTAGAAGAAAATTATAAATGCACCACGCATCTTTTCTGAGAATATTTAACTTCCTGTCTGTCATAACAAATATGCATATCTGATAAAAATTGTGGAGAATATATATGAAAAAATACTTTTATATGAGATATTCGATTACGCGCAGTACAAATGATTCTTTATTACAGCAAAAGTTCTCTATTATAAAACTTATTTGTTTATAAATTTATTTGTTTATACTTAACTTGTTTATAAATAATAAATTTTATATATACTTACTTTAATAGTAAGCTATTATTATAAAATTTCTATTTAAAAAGAATTGAAAGATGAAAAAATTATGAAAGATTAAACGATATACAATACGAAGAAATCAAGAATATTTGTTTTTTATCACTGTTTAATTGAACAGAGAGGAGCTCCGTCCAAAAGAGCCATGCTGAAGCAAAAACCGATCGTTATTGCGTAAAATACCGTTTGAATATAAAGTAGAATGATTAAACCTTGCAAAAAAATCAAGAAGCGAAATGAAGTTTTCGAAACTCGTCGATGACACGCATCCTCTTCGTGCCACGGTTATGAACTCGCGAGAGCCTTGAATGCCGAATTTAGCAACGCCAGTTGACCATTCTTTTGTACGTATGTACATACATACATATATACACACAGCATAAACGCAGCATACAGATATACAATTCGTCACATGAGTGAAATTAGAGAACGTACGCATACAAAAATTGTCGAACAAAAATCGCCTAAAAAGCGAGGATGTTTTTTAAATCTTGGAAAACGATTTAATAATGATACTGTATATATATATATATATATATATATATATATATATATATCATGTGCAATTCTTATTAAAAAACCACCCGATTTAAATGAATATGATATAAGATCGTAATAAATGAATATATTTGTGTATAAGAAAGGAATTAACTTCTTATAACGTTTTGTTATAAATAAATATCTTTTTAAATAAGTACTTTTTGTGGCTATTTCGACGTAGCAAAGATCCTTTAAAACATGATGCTTAAAATGTCTCACGTTTCATGTTGCTATTGAGCAATCAACCAATTCGTGAGACTTGCAGACTTGTACGTTATACGCGTCGAGCTTTCCAGAGATTTCAACGCGCGCATTGGGCGTGGAATATCAATGCCAGCATAACTATATCGGTGTAGTTACATATGTAATGTCAACTGATATAATATGCAGCAATATGCAATACAAGGAAATTGTATTACCTTACTTTTTATGGGTATAAGCCTCTCCTTCATAAAACAGAAGGCCATTTCCGCCTATGTCGTCAGCAACAATGATTGCTCCATCGCGCGTATCGCCGGCATGTGACAGTAAAGAGAAAGATTACATTTTTTTTCCATTAAACAATATTGCGTATTGAGAGACATTAATCACATAAAGTTCGGTTTTTTGATCACATATTTAAAATTTATGTTTAAAAATTGTAAATATTATTTTATATAAACGACATAATGTATAATATATAGTTTATCTTGTATACATTATGTAAAATTATAATGTAATGTAATAATTATATCAGATTTTACAATGTAATTTTGTACATTTTCCAATCTAATGTGTAAATCAAATATTTCGGATGAGGCAATATGTTCGTACCTGAACATCTTCGCGTTTTTACTTTTCTTGCACGTCATTGGCATTTATTTTTTCGCACGTGTATACGTAATGAACAAACACAATCCGCAGTTACGTAAAACAAAACAAATTTTGACGCTTGTTGAAATACGAAATTCGAACCGAATATTTTTACGTAACCTTCAGTTATTTCTTTCAATGAGTTTATCGACTTTTGTTTATTTATTGATAACGCGTACAAAATTTTTTGATTAAAAATGAGATATGTAAATAAAAATTTCTCGTTAATTTACAAAATTGTAAAATTATAAAATGTTTTCTTTAAAGAACAATAAATCTAACATTTTTCTTTAACAGATTAATGCACATATATTACAAATAAATAGAACATATTTAAAAAAAGAAAAATATTTTGCAGAGAAAAAAGTTGAAAATTAAAATATGTAATATTTAAATACTGCATGATGCTGGAAATATTTAGATAACAAAGTAGTAAAGTATAAAATAAAATTTTCTTGTTTTTTTGTGTTACATATCTATCACGTTCATCGAATGTGAAACAAAAGAAACGAGCGTTCAACAATTTAAAGAGGTTAATAATGGTTGACTGAAACGTTGCTTTCATTCGTTAATTCCAAGCGTGCAACGTCCATCCTGCACTAGTATGTATATTAGAGAGAAAGTGCAAAGCGCGTTATCGATGTCTCAAATCATATGTCGTGGGAATTATGGTTTGGAAATAACTGTCACCTTCAAACATATTTCACGAGTTTCCAGAGCATCGTGACTACTTTTCTTTATTTTCTCTTTTTCATTATTAAATAAATATAAAATGTATATAGTTGTGCATCGTGTCATATAACGCTGTAAATTCAATTAATATAAAATATTGTCCAGATTAAACTTCACTAATAATTCATGTCTAGATTGCTTCACTTACAATTAGTAATTCTTAAACCAGTTCGCGACGATCAATCAACGTTCCGGAACGTTCTCCACGGATCGGATAGATGTCAATGACTCGCGCAAGTAATGAACAGACCAAGAAATTTGTCTTAAAGTACAAATAATAATTTTTTTCGTCTCGAGCGCCTGGCAACAGTACCTGTTTACTTTTGTCAGGAGGATAGCACGGCATAAAGCCAGCCTCGGATGGCCTACTATCTCTTGGAAGCCTCTCACCCGAGTCGTCCATCCACATCGAGGTCATTACGAATTGTATGTACAAGTACAGTCCGTGATGCAAGTCTCATCTCCTGTGTAGAGAAATTAAAGCTTACGTTCCGAAACTCAAAGCCCAATATCTCACGAAAATTTCATCTCAACGTGAGAATATTTAACGTAGGATAATCTCGAATAAAAACAAAATAGGTATATAGCTGAAAAATCTTTTATCTTGAGAAATAAACGTGTAGCGCAATATCCATTTCCCAGATGTAAGTTCCGAATGTAACATAATTGCATAACATGTCAAACGTGATCTATGAGTACGTGTAAAATAGCGGCGAGTATCTATGATCTACAAAAGCGTCGGGCGTCGAAACGGGTCCGAGCCGCACTATAATAATGTCAAGGTACAGTTAGCACGCGTCAGATGTATTTTATCGCGCTTATTCCCGGGGCTCTTGAGTTAAATAACGAGGCGGTAGTTTATTTTCAGCTGTCGTTAATTTGCTTGACTGCGATACACGGATGCATTCGATGGCTGAATATACATACACGCGCGCGTCCGCACGCGCACATTACGCACGTAGGCTTAAACATATACATATAATTATTTATTATAAAATATTTAATCTCTTTTCACATATGCTTTTTTTTTACTGTAAGGACTGATAAAGATAAATTGATAGAACTGAAGATTATATATGATATCGACTGATATATTCTCAATGAAAAATATGTAAGCCAAGGAGAATGAATATGTGGCTGATATAATGACGGAGACACTTAAAGAACTCATTCACTCGCCAAGGAAAACCACCGCTTTGCGTTTCCACGATATTCAACAAAAGTTCCGGTGAATCAACAAGGTGCATTAACATACATACGAGACTTTACATAATCACCTTTCCCCCTCTTATCGGTGTAACTGGCGCGGGAATCCGCGGTAAAGCACAATTTGCTCGTGTTCACGTTCATACGACGTACATAAATGTGCACATGCATGCCTATGTATGTTTGTATGTGCGTATCTGTATCACACCTGTCACAGAGGTGCTGGTACTACTCTTCTCAACACACACACACACATACACACACACACACACACACACACACACACACACACACACACACAACACAAAGCACGCGGGACTTCACGCTGGTTAACCAACCGAGTCGAGGCCTTTTGTCGTTTCACGCTCTCCTTTGACGTTCTCCTCGCCATTGTCATTTTTAAAAAACTGTTTAATATTAAAAGCGAGAAGCCTCCTGTGCGAAATCCGATTCATTTGTCGCTGTTGATGCTCTAACGATAAGAAAAAGAAAAAGAGAGATCTCCAACCCTTTTCCCCGTTCTCCGTCCACAAATATTATGACAAGTGAAATCTTCTCTGCAGGCATACATGAGACCGCCGACGAAAAGCACGGCTGTGCAGATCGCTAGGATCGCTGCTATTACCCTGATCACGATGTCCGTCGTGCTTGGTAGCTTTATCCTCGCGGCGTCCTGGGTCCAGGCTAGAGCTTCCTGCACGCCGGAATCAATCGCGACAATGCAGGCTGAATTGAAACGTCAACAGCAACAAACCTACGGATCGTATCAGCCGCAAGGTGAATTCCTCAAGCATTTGCAGCCAGAAGCTCTGGTACAGGTAAGACTATAAAAAAAAATATGGTAGAATAAAATGTGAAAACATGTTCTATCTTAAAATACATCTACATCATCCGTAAAAAGAAACAGGACGAGTAATAAATGCCGGAGTATACGCTCATATTTAATTCGTATCTTGCAGTAAAATTATATACTATGTTATATCGAACGTTTATTTTTTTCCGGGATTCGATTCTCACGAGCTAATAGTGATTAGTACATATCTCGTTATCATTGGATCGTCAATCTAATTGACAATCTGCAGCGTTGCGATTGCGAGGCGCTCAAGGTAAGTCCACGGAATAAGTAGTATAATGATGAAAAAGAAAGAGTAATAGTAATAATAAAACAAGACTCGCCGTAACGTTTTCAGTGCCGTTATCCGCGCGGCCTTTGAAAAACGCAGCCGCATAAACGCACGATTATTGGGATAACGACCGTCCTTATTGTAGTCGTTATGGAGAAATCGCGTTGACGGTCCTGCTAATTTTTCGTAGCAGGGAAAGTGACCGTGCCTGTATCGACCACGTTAGATTTCTCGTTTAATTGTTAAGTGAATTAAATTCCATCGTTCGCGGCGTAAAAAAAAAACAGCGGAGCCGACGCCGCAGCTTTCAGCTTGTTATGTTCACGGTGGTGGTTTCCACGGAGATTTCTAAATTTTCACGTCGCGGTGGCGTTCGACGAATCGTAAAAGGAATCGATCGAACGAAGGTGTGCAGATCGACAAGTCTTCTCCGACAGACCGACAATTTAGCTCTTTATCGAAAGTGAAAAAGGGAGACGTGGATGGAAAGGGAGGGAAACGTTAGTAGGATGTCGCTAATATAATTAACATTCGTTTTCGCGCTCTGTATAAAAACGTAAATTTGCTTTGACAAGCGGCTTATGACGTGAACAAATAAATCACGATATTTACGGAAATCTGTGTTTTGAATTTCTTTTTTTTTTTTTTAGTCATAGAATCTATCTCTCATTTCCAAAACTATTAGAAAGTAAACAGGGTTTTTAAAAGCAACAAATTGTAATTTAGGTTTAATCTTTTCTTAAAATTTTATAAAAAGTACTTATCTCTCGTAGAAAAATGTATTTTAAAATTGTCGGATTGTCCTGACAATTAAGATCAAGTTTATTGCTCAGTTACATATCCGAAATAATTATATTGATTGTGAAATTTTAAAAATTAATTACTATTATAAATCAACCTAGAAGACACAAGCAAGTGGAATTGCTTTTTCGGCGCTCGAAGAGAAAGAATCCTGTCTGATTTATCGTAATGGCGTTTATCTTCATGATACTTGACTTAATGTTGCCATCACAATAATTTGTCATTGGTTCTTTTAAACGCTCTATAAAATACAATTTACAGCTTTGTATATATAATCGGAACTTGTATCAGTCGATTAGAGTCCGTCCGGAAATTCTACCTGTTAACGAGAAAATAATGCCTGTCTCCGAGAAAACAACATCTTAATCCAGAAATTAGTTTGCATCATAATAAAAAAATACGTGCAGTGAATATGATCACAATGTAAAATTTCCAGGAAGTAATTATAAAAATATTGCACGCGTGACTTGTGAATAAAAATTACATAAAGTAAGTTAGTTAGTTGCACAATTTTTTATCAATACCACGCTCATTTCACATTTATTTTAATTTCACTGTCAATATATCAACAAACAGTTCTTGTAGAAGAACTGTCGCGACGTATTTACTAGCGAAATCTCTGGGTACGGTGTAATTGAACATAGGAAGCTAATTTCCTAGCAAAACATTGAATTTTCCTGTTTCTTTTAGCTGTTCGCATGAAATATAATTTCTTGGAAAATTACCAAGCAATTACTCTTCTTGTCGATAATATTATGTTTTCTCTGATTGTTTTTCTGATTGGTTTCTTTATATATCTGAATTTGTGCAGCAGTAGGAAATAAATAATTGTAAAATTTCATACGTTTTATCAATTGCGTCTAACAAAGAAAACTACGTGTCTTATCGACCCTTATACACCCAGTGAAAATCACGAATCCTCGGATGCTAATGAATGAACTGGCATAAAATATCACAAATTTAGAAAGCGTAGAGTTATTTACAACCGTGTTCTTCGTCAAGAAAGACGGAGAGATAGAGAGAGAGAGAGAGAGAGAGAGGGGGGGGAGGGGGGTGCGCAAGCGTCTTACAAGCGCGCGCTTATTGACACGCGAATTACAATTGTCGGTAAATTGCTAGACATAATAAAAATACTCCTATAATCGCGCGCGATTTTTCTGAGAAAGTATCACGCCGCGAAATACTTCTTGATTGTGCGGGCAACGTTATGCACAGTCGGGCGTTCATTATGACCGAAATGGCGAGGTTTCGATGGGAAACGCCAACCGTCCGTTGCATTATTATTGTCTGACTTTAGTATATTGCACGCGACGATACCACGTTGGTTCGCTTGTCTCGGAGAAATTGGGAACGAGCGCCTTACGTAAAGCGAATATAATAGCTTGAGCACTTAGACCAGGAAATCGGAGACATTTTTTTTTTCTTTTGATTAAGAGTCTAAAGTTTTACAAGAGGTTGACTTGTCTACTTTTTTAACATTCAAATACTTTATTTATTCATATTTTATAATTAAAGCAGGGATGAATGGCGCGACGTTATCGTAAGATATTGGCGGAATATTCGGAGATTTCAATGCCACAGCCGCGCAAAGATCTATGCTCAATTCTGTATTACGACAACGATATTGCAAGAACATAAAATATATTTCTTATATGTACAAAGTGAATTTTTCGAGATCGAACCCAAACATCTGCGACTAAAAATGACGCAAATACTTTATTATAATATATTAGCATGAGAGAGAAAAGTGAAATCTCTAGTAAGACTCATCTATAATCTACGTTTCATCTTATCCGCTTCTGCTTGAGCCGAGCTCCAAGGTTTAATTCAAGGCCATATTCAGACAAAGCGATTGTTACAATCGTACGTGACAGTAACAGTATCGATGAATTGTTCGGATACAAACAACAGATACTAAAGTAACGATGTGAAAATACATTTAATAGCTACTTCTGTTTTATAATCATTTATACGCACAATTCATTAGCTCAAAGACTATTAAAAAAAAGTAATATTAAAAAAAATTTTATAGCGTGTTTCGTTAGATTTCTATAGATATTAACAAATAAATGATGAAAGTTTAAACATCTCAGATACATGAGTCTATACTCTTGCTTCGAATCTCTCGATTTTATCTCGATGTATATACGGCTACATTTTCTCCCTAAATCATGACCATGTATCGGAGTACACTTTCGCTGACGAGCACGTACAATCAGCCTATAAATCCTAGTGAGATTATCTTTCCCTATAGCATTCGGCTGACTGACGGCTGACAAGAAACGCGTGACGCGCGTAAAAAGCGCGATTTTTTTCCACGCATCATAAATCCCCCGCGCCATTCGATGCGATCGTTCGCCGCGAGCGGAAAGAAGCGACGGGGAACGTGCCGGTACGTAGACAACGGCGATTAATTCCGGCGTTAAAACGAGCCCGCTGTAAAGAAGGAACTTTCGAAGAGGCACGCTCCGGTCGTCCGAGTATTGGACGCAGAAAACGAAACGCAAAGAAACGCTCGGCGCGAAGCGGTACCAGGAGCCGCGCGTTCAAGGAGAACCGCAAACGGGGGAATTACGTAATTCAAGTTGCGTTCCTTGTATGTGATTGCGGTTGTGCACGCGGATCGACGAGCGAGCCAATGTTATGTTTGCAAATTTATAACGATCACCGGCAACCAAATCGCACTTGCAATCTTGATTGATCGGATATGATAATAATACGCGTAGGTTAATACCCTCGAAAAAATTTTTTCTCGGCGAGAATATGATAATTGATAAATGAATAATCCCAGTTTTATTTATACAGATCAGGTCTATAAATGTTACTACGAATAGTTAATCGAGATTTAGTTTCCTCATTAAAATATTTTCTAACTTATTTCTTTTGTTATATTACATCTTTTACTTTATGACTATTCCGTTAATTTGTCTTATTTGTAGAATGTCTGATTACACGCTATGCTGTTACGTAATACAACTTTTTTCATTTCTTGAACGCAAAAATTATACTTATTTACTTGCGTCCATTTTATTCGCACTTCTCGTAGATGGCACCCATCGTGCACACTCCGTCGCCCATCATTTGATTTCCGTTAGACGAGGCCTCGAGTACTCATCAAACAATCGCGTAGCATCGCGGAAGCGACGCGCTCAATCGCGCAACGAGTTTTCTCTTCTCTCGGTAATCAATTTCCCTCATGAGAGAGACTAGCTCTCTCAAATTGGATTGTTTTCGCGAGCCTTGCGGTGTTTCTACTAATTAATCCAATATTTTCGTGATAATGCCATCCCGGTACATCTATGTGAAATCGTAATTTTCGTTAATAGAGAGATCCTTGTTATAATGAATTAAACCAGCACATTTCGAAAGATAATTTTATATTATATTAATCACCGCATTATATATTATATAGCGATGGCAAGAGATGTATATGTCTAGTTATATCATATTAATTATTATTATATCAATTATAATCTCGCGCGTTATGTTATATAAGTATTATTTTTGCAATTTCGTACGTTGGACAGTTTTGACACTTTTGTTGCCAATAACACGATTATGAAATCATTCTCGACAGGTAATTGCCTGGAACAAAAAATAGAATACACTTTTTCCCCCGACCAGTGAAATCCCGTAGATCGATTATTCTTCGTAGCGAACGCGAGTCGATGAACGTCGTCAAGTTTGATCGCGCGCGAATGTAGCAGCCGTTTCCGGTCCGCTTATGGCGACCGATAGAAAGTAAGATCGGTATAGTTACACGCTACGAGAATGTAAAGCTAAACTAAAAGCGCCCAGTTCGTATAACGGACGTCGCAAAGGTGAAAATCGGTCATCTTGAGGTCAATGAAATCCGGCGAAATCAGCGATAAAAGCATGATGGCTTACATCAACAGATTTTGCCTAAAGAATCATGGAATCATTTGGCGTAAAGACAAAATTAATTCTTATAAGATTAAGTGAAATACAAATACAACTGCAAAATTATTAACAATTAAACTATTCTAAATATTAAATTAGTTATAAACTATTAAAATAATAAATACTAAATATTAAATTAATAGCTCAGAATCGGTTATTATACTTGTATAAAAAATTTCGATTCTAAGAAAACTGTTTGTTACCAAGTGTAATTACCCATTAGAAGCTGCAGATGTAAAGAATCGTTCTGCTTGCCAGTGTCAATCGTCTTAGCTACACCGGTAATTTTACAATGACAACAGAAAAGCTTCCCCGACGCTTCATTATTTAAATGGCTAGTCCGCTTCGATATTTTAGAATATGAGTTGTTTCAAGGATCATGTTTGCTCACAATACCCCTAATTTGCAGTGAGTTGCACGTCGAAATTAACACTCGCATATACTTCCTTGCAAATTATGGCTTGATTTCGTAAGCGCGTCTTCTTCGTCAATTTACGACGAACGGAAATCGTTTGATAAATTATGTTGGATTGTTTATTTCCTTGTAACACGAAATATCAAACATATTTTGTTTAAAATGCATGTATTTTACATTGCATGTCTCTTGCTCATCTAGATGATAATACTACAATTTTTTTAAATTTAATTTCTAAAGAGAAATTTGTTTTATTTAAATTTTTAAATAATCCTTTGTTAAATGGAAATAATGTCTATTGCATACGTATGCTTTAATAAAGCTTAATTGAAATTAAACATTAAATATTCCAATTCCGTTAATTAAAATAAAAATGTAGGAGTCAAATTTAAATATAAAAATTACACAATTCGAATCAGTAACTTTCCTAATAATTACTTGGAGACGACAATAGGAGCTACTCCTTCAGACTGCTGCAGTTTTTTTCATCACACTTTTGAAGCAACCATCAGATAGTTGGAAAATGTACCACGACGAAAGTGGGTTGCCGGTCGCCCGCTAACCGCGAGAGGTGAACGTTCTCTTTAAAAAGATTTTCTCTCGGCAACTGTATTGTATATTATACTCTTTCGTTTGACAGTTTCAAGTCGACTTAAGGTACCACGATCGCACGTATTATCAACGTCATCGGTAGAAAATAGAATTCTGACTCATACGTCTATACGTAACGCTCTGCCGTGGCCGATTCTTCCTTTTTTATACGTGAGAACGATCGATCAGTGATGTTAATGAATGTATCCAGACGAGAATCTTTTCTGTCGATTGAATCTCAATTCTGCATTAGATGGAATGATACATATGATTACTGACTCGCGAAGAAAAATAGCACGGGATTGAATATATTTAGCTCGCACGCAACACAACTGTATAATATTGTGTTTTATGTGCGAGCTGAGAATGTTTTCAAATGATTATGCTTTTCTCCGTAAGATACAATATCACATTACATATTTTTTAACACATAATTATATATTTGATAAATATATATAATACATAATGAATACATATGTAATTATTACATAATTGTACATATATAGTATATAATCTTTTTATTCATAACGATGGACGAATTAAGAAAAACTGATAATTTTATTTTTTTTATTATAAAAATTCATGCATTTTGATTATAGAGAATTCCACGACAAGAGAAAGATAATTTTTCAATTAATTTTAACTGAGCTTTATTTTGTAAATAATACATACAAAATTTAATAAATATAATAAAATTAATTGCTCGATTTTATAGCTGAAAAGATTGTCTTATATCTCTGCTTTCTTTTTTATATCATCGATCGATTATAATTTATAGTTTAACTTATATATACCCTTCGTACTGTTGCGATCGAAAGGAATTGAAATTGCGACAAATCGCATTGCATCGTCCAGCAACCATATCACTATCGTGTCCAGCACCGTGTACATGTCTCAAAAACGACAGGTAGCCATAATTGATCGTAATGCCCCACTAATTGATAGGTTGAAGAGGTTTACTGCGTTTTCTAAAGAAAGCCATTCGGCGTACGGCGCGGGCGAAGTCATTACTGCGGCAAATTGCAATGACGATTTCTTCCATGACGATGTCGTACGCTTCGTGAATCTCGAGTAGGTGGAAACATAACTCTCGTTTCCCTTTTTTCTGCAGGAATTTCGTGTCGCGATAGTTGCACATCGGGAATTTCGCGGCGTATGCAGAATAATTGCCTTACAAATATAGTAAGACAGCGACAAGTGACATGTATAATCGCGCAACATACTGCTTACTATGTTACGTGTCTTGTGTATATATAAGGAATTTATAAAAATTCACGCACATATCAATTGATAGATACACGTAATTGTGATTTAATTGACCATCCAATTATTATTGTAAATATTCGCTTAATGAGAAACGCAACGGACAATGAAGATACGTATCGTATTCATTTTTATGTGAAATTTTATGCGTTTTGAGTAGCTGTCTAGACAGCGATGCAAATCTCAGCTTTTCCTTTCTGAAACTTATTGAATTTAGTTACTGAAATGGAAAGCTATTATGTTAAACAGAAAGTAAATTAATGAGTAACAATGAATAATTTATTTTATCTTTAAAAAATTAATTAATTTTTCTTCATTTTATTTCCTATATAGATATTTTTTAAACGTTCCTGAGACACTTATATACAAAAATGTTTGTCTTGTATCTTGCCTGAAGTTGTTGCGCATTGAAAGATATCTTATTTGATTCAAGAAATTTTACGAACGACGATACATTTTTTAATAAAACCATGATGAGCAGTGTGCTCTACCACGCTTCCTTGTACTTCCCATAATTATACACGAACGCTATTTATTTCGCAGAATGTGCATATAAGACACTATCTCCGCCTACGCAAGCTATATGCGTTCCCGTAGCTTAACGAGTTTCATCTCGGCTCGTCCCGTTTTAGTTTAACGATCATGCAGGTTGCCTGTCGCTCGTCCGGACTATCGCAAAATCCTTTCTACATCCTGAGCAATTTCCCCAAGTGGAAAGTGCTTAGCCATGTTCGCGTTTCTTCGCGCGATCCACGAGTGCGCGATCCTCGGGCTTATCCGAATTGTAAGTTTAAAACACGGTACTTTCACAGTGCCGATATTGATGCAAAATATATATATTTCAGAACTTTAATTATTTTATATCAATATACACACATATATATGTATATATATATATATATATATATATATATATATATATATGTATATATTTGATGTATGTCATAACAAGCTCTAAAGCAATTCTTGCTTTTTCTAAATAAGATATCATAGTAAAAAGGTTGTTGGAAAATCAAACTGTCATTCACGACAATGCTATTCATTGCGTTAGTAGCCATCCTAGAAGTCAATAGCCGTCACTGCTCATGCAATACTGTGAACTTACCATTATGATCCACAATTGTGCAGCAGTTGTTGCAACGTACGTTTCTTGCACAAAATTGTAATTATCCATTGCCAATCGGCTTACACGTTAAGAAGCCGCAGGAAAGACATTTAACCGCGTCGATATTCGTCGGGGGGTGGGGAGGAAGATTTCAACACGTTTACGCCGCGTTTGCGGTAATCCATAATTTAATGCTTGTAAAGACTTACCGGATACAGCGAACAGGACGAATCGGCAAGTCTCTTGCACAAAAGTCGCAATTGCGTGAAACACGATCGACGAGAAGAACGCATACTTACGAAGTTAAAGTTTTCTTTCGCTTTCTATGGTTATTAAGCTGCGGTAAAATAAACGTTACAAAAAAAACATCTTAATTATCATACGGTATTAACTTATGATTGCTTGAAATTTAATTTATGCCTATGTTAAGATGTTTAATCTTAAGAATTGAAAAGTTGTGAGATTAAAAATAACTTCTATTAAATTTTTGCCAGGAGAAAGTTCACTTTAACTGCAGCAGCTCTGAAAAAAGCAGAATATGTTTTCTCATTCGTATTATTTAACATTCAGAGTTTGATTTTAAAAATATTTTAAAAATATAATGCTAAATTATCCAAATAAGAAGTATCGTAAGAACATATGGAACGAAGCTAATCTTGTTATTTCTTCAGACATTTTCCCATTCGCATATGATTTCCATCGTTGGCGAGGTTACAGTGCGATAATATAAATGCGAGTTCACTTTCACTAGTGACCCACGATGTCGCGAGCAGGAAGACAAGTTGCATCAACGAATGATGATTGCCGCGGCGGTATTTGTCCAGCTTTCGAAGCCTCGAGAAATACTCGTTTCTTTTTTCGCCGGAATATTTCAAGTCTTTCTCATAGTTTAAAAAAACAGAAGCTTCAAATATGATCAATTTGTATAAAATCAATGATTGTTCAATTTTTAACATATGTATAGAATATAATTGCTGATATTAAAATTGTGAAAATAAATGATCGATGTAGCTACAAATTTTCCACGATATCCGCGAGTTGTACAAATATGTACATAACACATTTACCATAAATTTTTTCGTATTTTCTAGTCAGATTTAATTATTGACATTATACGTGCTATGAATATATAGATATATAATTCAATCTAGATGCACAAGTGTCTAATAAATTTTTTAAATTTAAATTATAAACGTAATTTAATTAAATGTAATTTATTTACATATTCTTTAAGTTAACGTTTTTAATAATGCACGGAGGTGTGCAGTAATAGCATTAAAATGTACAAAAAAAATATTTCTTCTTGTACTTCCTCTCAAAAATATTATATTTATGCAAGCTTAAGATAAAAAAAATTATTTTATTTCCAGGAACCTGTTGAATCGAAAGATTCTTTGCAAAGTCTCGCTGCGCCAACGAAGAAGGAAGTCGATCCGGATACTAAGGACATGAAAGCTCAAGGAGAAGGAGAGAACTCGAAATCTGACAACGAGAATGGCGATCGCGACGATGATGATGATGATTACGATGACGATGAATTCCCTCCTGTGCACATCAAGCTTCCTCTTCAATTGGATCTTGATGACATTGCAGGCGTAAGTACTTATATCATTTTACATACAACTCCACAAATAATCTTATTTTCTTTTGTAAATATTTTAATGATAATTGTCTTAAATCAAGCCTTTTAATGCTTTTTAATTTTACAAAAATATTGTTCTGTGAATCATATAAACTTTAATTTTATTTTCCAGACGTTAATTCAACAAGCTCGTAGCAGAGTTTCCTGCGTGGTTGAAAGACGACGAGCCGACGAGGTGATGGACGGAACCGGCGACAACGGTTTAGATAACAGTACCGATCCGCAGCGTTTCCAGAGACTGAGTGGCGAGCGAGTTGCCATTCTTTGCGAATCAGGCGGCCCAAACCAAGAGTGAGTATTAGTAAAAGAGAAATGTATAAGTCAATACATGAAAGAGCGCGCGGCGCGATCGGACGGGATAAATTATTAGCAACACAATCGGAAATTGTTATATTAAAACATTTAAATAGCAAATAAGCAGGAAGTAATTTATTTACGCAAATCCCATTCGATTGTGCTAAAGTGGCTGCGAGAACTTTAATCTCAAAGCTATAGAGCACAAGAGGAATCCTCTGAAATTAAGAGGAAAATATTCTATGCACAATATTCTAACAGAATAATTTCATCTTGCATTTGCAATACAAGTTTTGCTGTTTTTTATATGAATTTCCTCTTGCACATATAAAAACGCGCGCTTCATGCGCGCTATTTAATATTTTTACAAGGCCGAAATTTTTTAATCAATTTTTAATTAGCGCTTTGATACATGTATGCATCCTGTCGGGTGATAAGATGATGGATGCGTTGTCGCATTAGTTGTATGCAAATTCTGTGCATAGTGGCATATATTGTAGATATAAGTATGAACAGGTAGAGTGAAAGGGGGATGGCGGCTGGGTGAAAAAGAAAAGGGCATTGTACGTATATGAGAATAGCTGTCATTGCATATTTTGACAGTTATACAGAGATTGATGGTGTAACAGTAAAGCAAATAGTAAAAAGTAAAAAATATAAAATAGCGAAGCGCGCGCCTGTAATGCTAGTATAAAAAAATGAATAAACAATGATAACTCCATGGATGTAAAATTAAATATTCTGAACTTGTACATTATCGTGAATAAAATAATAGAACATAGCAGTAACAATTTCATGTTTTTTCTGTTCGTAGGCAACAGGAGCAAGAGATGCTTACCCCGATCATCGTGCCTCTAGGCACTGTGCAAATTCCCCTTCAGTCCCAGGAACCTAATCCGGGCTATCATCAATACCAAATACACACCCAGTATCAAGTTCCCGACATGCAGCAATTGCCACTTAGCGACCCACGAGGATTGAATCACATCCCGCCGGGTGTACTTCCTCCTGAGCTTCGTAACCTTCCTCAGTTGACTATGGAAATGAGACCACCTCGAATGGGCCCGCAGACACCTATGATGGGACCTCAGAGCAATCCGATGGGACCACAAGTGAGTCTTAGTTTCTATCACGCAAACGTAAACGGACGGTATATATATATATGGTACCATGGTGAACAGAATTTATTTATTAATAATTTATTCAGCACAGCAGTATCAGTTATTCAATATTTATGTCTAGATCGAAATGCGTCAGATCCCTATCGAACTGCGTCACTTCCCGATGGATCCGATGAGAGGAATGCGACCGATGCCTCAGGATCCTCGTCAGGAACCGCAACAGGTTTCGATGGTGTATCAGCAGCAGGCCGAACAAATTCCCAATAGTTACAACCAGGAGCAAGGACCAGCTATGATGCCACCACCTCCTCCACAACCCGAGGCGCAGGAGCAAGACCCGAGAATACAGCAGATACCACCTATGATGATCCCGCAGACCGAACAGAGACCACCTGCCCCACCTCAGGTTACGCCTGAAAAGCCACGCTCACCTTTCCAGGGTATTCCCATTGAAATCAGGAGAATAATTCAGCAAGTGCCGTTAGAAATTAAAAACATCATCCAGCACATTACTGGCGAAGCCAGGGCGATCCCGGTTCAAGTACCAGAGGGAGCACGTCGTGAGGTAACTTATTTTTTTGTCTTACATTAAATGATTAAATTGTAAAGTATATTTAGGAAAAAATCCGGAGAAATTATATTTTCACAAACAGATGCATTATATAATATATTTTTTTATTTAAATTATACATTAATTTTAATACAAAAATAGTGCTAAGAGTTTTATTCGAAAAACTGTATAACGTATAATTATTTAAATGATACGTCACGTTTGTAAATGTGTGTTGTAACACAAACAGGAACTCAAATCGTTCCCGGAAGGCGCACGACCAATACCATTAGGACCATTCCCACTTCCGGTGGAAGTGAGAAATTTGATTGAGCATGGAAACATCGAAGGCCGTCAACGCCCGGATAATGGTGAAGAGCAACAAGAAGCAAAAGCTTTCTCAAGTCCGGAGGATGACAGCGATGAAGAAAGAAACTTCCCTATTCCTATGGAAATCCGTAACATAATTCATCAGGTAAAATGATAAAAAGAAGTATATAAGTTAACAAAAAATTTTAATAATAAACATAGATAATAATGATTTTATTACATATTTTTAATGAATTAAAGTTCATTATGTTCAGGATTTAAAATAAATTATATTATTTATTTATACAGCATGTGTGAATGTCCAAAAAATCATAAAAGACACTTATATGTCTAGAAATATTTTTATAAAGCAGATTAATAAATAATATTCACGTAAGATTAAATTATTATTATAAATTCGATATTTATAAATAAAAATTAGAATTTCCTGGCTGATATGTTTTCGAGAAAGATAGCAAGCGGTAGCGTGGCCGAGCGGTCTAAGGCGCTGGTTTAAGGCACCAGTCTCTTCGGAGGCGTGGGTTCGAATCCCACCGCTGCCAATCTTTTGTCCAGAGATCCACTTTTTGAAGATAACGTTATAGAAAAATATTACATAACAAAATGAATTATCGAATTGCGTACAATCGTGCATATGTGTATACAGGATAGCGTAGTCGAACGATTTTAAACTGGATTAATTTAATTTTTCTTGGCGCATTAGATAAACTTTATGTAATCGTTTTTAATGAAATAACTAATTAATTAATGAATTTATGAAATTTTAGGTTGTAGAGGGTCGTGCTTTCCAAGTTCCGAGATTTGCATTGAGACCGGTCAAGTCTATGGAAGTACCAGTAGAAGCGCATGCTGAAGTGACCGATGGCCAGTCCACTGAGCAACAGCAGCCCGAACATCGGGAACAAGAGCAACATCAGGCATCACACATGATGAGCATTCAGCACCAACAAGAGCAGCAACAGCAACAGCAACAGCAGCAGCAACCCATGCAAGAAGAAGAGTCTCGTCCGCATTGTAAGTAAAAGTTTATTGTTTTGCTCTAAATTCAGGTTTCTACATTTATAGAATTACATTTCTTTATTAAATTATATTTTTATCCTTAATTTACTTTAGATATTAAAATATAGTTTATTAAAAACAAAATATATTTATATTTCGCTCGGGGTTAATGAACGAAGGACGGAACGACTAATAATTCGAGCAAATAAGGGTGTTAAAAATTGATAATTTATTAGATATAGTAAGTGCGACGGATCGTTGCGCTTACTATATGTAATAAATTATCAATTTTTAACACCCTCATTTGCTCGAATTATTAGCCGTTCCTTCCGTCCTTCGTATAAACAAAATAATTAAAAATATATATTTATGTTGAGAAAAGATTAAATTTAAATATACAAATAGTTCAATATTAGTGAATTCAAGTATTATTATTAATATTCATTCGTCTATTTATAGACGTGCAACCACGTTCCGTGCGCTCCGTACCAGATGAAGTCTTCCTGCATCGTCGTGAAAAGCGCGTGCGTCGTTGCGCCTGTGATTGCGCATGCTAAGAGATGTAGTTGATGCATACTCCGGACGCGGACGGAACGAATTTACAAAAGAGTCTGTCCGAAATAAAATTTAATATTCTAAAAGAGCGCGCCATCCACGCACACTTTGATCAGATATGTTCGCTGCGATCTCGGCGAATAGAGCAAAACGTGAGAGAAATTAACAGTCAAAGTATACCTTTATCAGTGTTGCAATCATTGCAAATGCATCGAATTGTTGATCGCATTAAATTTTCCCAATCCCAAAGTATTTTTACTATTATATTGTTATAACAGAGCCTGATATCCGAATAACTTTTCTTCCGATTGCCCAGGATTCCGCTTGGGAGAAGCGCTTGATAAAAAACGAAGAGTTATAATTCGAATTATATTAACAAACTACATTTATACATACAATAAAGTATTGTACGAAGTTGATAGTATTTTTATCTTGCGCGGGGTAGATAAGTATTAATCAAAGCATACACAGTTGATGAGAGATTAAAAATAAGTGTGCTTATTGAGGAATATCCTAATTTAACGACACCGTAACTGAATTTCAGAATATTTTCCCTTTTCTATCAGCCAACAGTACGAGACTAAGACCGTTTATAAACGTAACATTTATATATATATTGAAATATATTTTACCAACAATTTGCGAATTGTTGATAGGAGTGATATTTTCCAAATCAATTTATTAATTGATTATATTGTTATTTCATAGAGAGAAATAATGTGAAGATAGTTTAGAAATCTGTGATTCTTCTATATAAATCCCTGTGAAAATATGTTTCTGACAATGCTGCACACGCATAGTCAATATAATTACTAATTAAAATCTTTATATAATAATCGTCTCTTTTACATTCCGTTATTAACTTTATATTTTTGTTTATTTCCCTATTATACCCCCGCCTCGCTCGTAATTAAAGTGATAGAGAAAAATAAAAATAGATTTCTCTCTTTTTTATTAAAACGTAAAAGATAATTCAATCTTCTCAAGAATATTCTTTGGAACAACACTCTAGTTTTACTGATTATTTGCAAATATATTTCTGTACATTGTTTACGCATATCGGAAATTAATTTAAGTTTTATGTGTTTTATTGATTTATATTCTCTATGTATTACATGTTTTTTTTTCTTTCTCATGACAAATAATAAAGTGATATGATTGATTAGACTTGAATTGACATCTTGCAATAAATCTGAATGCACGTGATAATATATATAATAAATGAATAAACACACACACACATATATATAAAAATATAAGAAAAAAGAAAAATGAATTTTATCCTCTATCTATATCAAATAAATTAGAAATTAATTTCTACTAGATTTCTTGTTTTTTTTTTGTTTAATCTCTGTCATTGCTTATATTAATTAAATTAAAAATATACATATAATACAAGAGATAGCAAATAACAGAATAGTTTCTGCTTTTATATATAAAATAACAAACATGCATAGGACAGAAACCTAACTACAGAAAAAAATTTATTACGTTTAATTGTATTACGAGTATATGTCGCTTAATAAGATTTAAGAAATAATAAATAAAAATAAATTGTTATAAAAAAGAAAAAAACTTGGAAAAACTTTGCATAACATTCTCAAATTATTACCCTTTCTTTTTTCTACTCTTACATTTTTTGGATGTTTCTTCACCTATGCGGTCGCAATTTATTTCAACTTTTGCTGATGTAGCGTAACCGGTAACATAAACATAAAGTCCTAACTATCAATATCAAAGAAGCACGTTTGCAACATTCTCGAGTTTTTTTTTTGCATTAATAAAATGATCCATGAAACCTTGTGTTTTGCGAGCATTTACTCAGAATGCGGAAATTGTGATATTTCTTATCCTTAATTCGAGAACGCAAATGTGCATGTACACGTGCAATTTAATATAATGGTACATATTATCATTACTCTTTTTCTACACAATTATGCAGGTCAATGTTGAATGTCGAATAAAAATTCGCAAATCGCTCAAGTTATTGCTAGTCAGTCGTTACTTATAGAAAGTGTGTCATTTATTTTTTATTTTTATATTAAATTTATTAATTCCTTGGTTTATTTGATTACTTTTAATTTATTTTTATCAAGTAGAAAATAACAAAAGGTTTCTTGCATAGCTAGACATTATACAAAAATGAGATTTATTTATCAACGTTAATTATATAAAAGAAGTGACACATTGGATTTTGAAATCACATAAACGTAAGAATTTAATAAAAATATTTGCTGTTTAGGATATCATACACAACAAAAATATGTGGAAGTTGTTACAAAATGTCTTGTAAATGTCATGTCAACAAAATAACGAAACAAAAAAGGTGACGATGCAAAATTGATGACACTTTATGTATTTTTTAATTTAATTTTACTAAATATTTTATATAATCATATTTACGTGAAAGAAACTTATTATTAAAACTGTTTAAATAAAATAAATTTATTGTAAAGATGCTGCCTAAAAATATACAACATAATATGTATAATACGGTTCTTAAAAAAAAATATTTTTACAAAGAAAGACGGACAATGCATAATTTATCACATACTTCGAACCAGATATTATATTTCTCATAAACTGAAATTATAATAATTATAATCTAAGAAAAGTGATGCGCAATTGTTTATCGTCAAAAGAATCTGTCGTTATCCTAAATATGAAATGTTCCTTGCAAAATACTCGACCGGTATTTCTGTAACAGCAAAATTCGATACCGGCTTAGATTACACATTGGATATCGTGTCAATACGACTTGCGGAATCGCGGTTTCTCGTGTATTTGCGTGTCTCGCAAGTGGAAAGTGGTTCTTATAAATATCTATATCGGATTATGGGATCACCACGTATATGGAGCTGCTCTCGATCGCGAGAGGGCCGGTCTTCCTTTGCATAAGAAGCATGTAAGCGAAACTCATGTTCTCGAATTTTTTTGATAACATATGTCTGATAGTCGCATTAAACGAAAAATACGATTTTGCCGTACATTAAGATGCGCCAATTAAAACATGTTACATTTTCCGCATAACGAAATACGTCAAAATATTTAATTCAAAATTCTTACGCCAGATATAATCATCATTCGCAACACAGAGGCAGTACGATCTGATGTAATCTTTGTGAAACCCAGTAAAACACACATCACGCGAATGTACTCGCGACTAACACGCAGATTTTTATTGAGAAAATTGCATACGCATTGCTTTTATTAAACTAAAATACCATCTCGCACATAAGGCACTATGCTCGACGGTTACATAGGTATATACGTCATGGATGAACAATTCTTTGCGCGGGTGTGTTATTAAACGATTACCTTGGAAAGCGGGTCACGCATGGCCGTATAATTGGCTCATCACGAGCGGTAAATCGTCTGTTCGACTATTAATTTTTGCGATTAGGTCGCTGGCTTCGGTTCACCTCATCGGTGTCACGCACGAGATGTTTCTCCTCCAGCCGGATGATTATCAAGTCAGCGAACTGATTCAGGTCGCCAATTAAAGAAGGTACATACTCGCTGCTGGAGAAACTTATACATATGTATGCGCGGATGGTTACTCGAATCCATTTTTTGATGAATGCCAGCAAACATGTATTTACATACATTTCCGATGGAAATTGAGTATTACGATCGTCCATATCGCTTTCACGGTTCTCCAGACATGATTGCGAGATGTCTTGTCACGTAAAGATCATTTATTAGCGATTAAATTGAAATTGCGATTCTGACACCAAGATTCACATGATTATCCTCAATGATTGTTTTTTTACTACCGTTTATTGGATTTTTACTACCGTTTAATCATAGTTTCAGTACTTTTGTTCTTTACTATATCGTTTTTATTTTTGTGAGGACAAAATTACGAGATAATTTTGACGGTTTCAGTTAAACATGTTTTTAAGAATTATTTTAAGGTATCGCATTATTATCGGTATTAATCTAAAAATGTAAAAAAAACCGTTTGCTATTTTTTATTATATATTAATTAAGTTAGTGTTTTACTGTGTTTCAAAATCAACAATATTTACGCCTATATATAGACTTCATGTAATTTTAATAATTATCAACTCGGTATGCTGACCTGAAATATGCAAATGAAACGCATTAGAGCTTGCTGAGAAAAAAATTAGTTCCGTCCTGTTAATATCCTGTTCTTTCAAAGTGTACTGAATAAATGTTTTAATCCCCCAATATATTATGTTACGCACACGTTAATATGCTACTATTGTAAAATTATAAATGGCTTTAGAACAATATCTATATAATAGTAACAGAGATGTTACTGATGACACGTACGCGTTAGTACACGCTAATAAATAACATAACAATTTTTGTAACAAGACATATTTGATACCTAATAAGGTGCTTAATTCCTAAGACAAGTTGATTTTCGCGCGGCTACATTATATAATCAGCTGGTTGGATTAAATGAAGGCACGAGAAGCAATCAAGCGGCTTAAAAATTTTCCGGTCTTGTACCAGCTAAGGCTCTCTTTGCCGGCGGCTGTTAAAAATACCGGAGCGATTCCCGAAGGTAATTACGCACAATTTCTTAGCGACCGCCGCTTTCTATTAAGTAAAATATTCCGCGAGCGCGCGGTTTATGGATTTATGCAAAAGAACTATATGGGAAGACGAATTTATGCAGATACATTGGTCATCGAGGTCAGGTCAACTGGTTATAAACAACAGTTATGAAACATACAGCCAGTAAGAAAAAAAAATCAAGTATCGAAAGTTCGTCTTCTCGGATATCGTTGGTTAACTCTCCGGCCTTTCGATTTTGTACTTTGCAAATATCAAGATAAGCGCGCGTCATGTATCATATCACGTCGTTTATCTCCGATTTACATAATAGAATCTGGACACGTTACAGATACTTAATAATACGATGCTGTGTCGCACGTATTCACAAAACCGTGCGCTCGTCCCTTTCACCGCGTGATTATTAGAAAGCATTAATTACACACTAAATAATTATAGCCAATCATACAGTGCGCTCACGCTTTATAGTTATCATTATCTGTAGCCTAATTCCTTGTTTTTATAGAACACACTCATTCTTTGTACTTATATCGGTAACTATAATTAAGTTATTTAATCAATCACCGATATGAGTCGATCGTAAATAAAATGATCTATTCTAAGATAAATTAAAATTGTACATGTAATGCTGTATAGTATCAATATCGGCAATTACAGTTTCAGAATCTTCCGGTGCTCGTTTATCATCAAAATAAAAAAAAATTGGATATTTCGAAATGAAAAACGACGTATATGATGCAACATTACATTACCACTTCATTCATTTAGGATTCTGCATTCGATCTGAAAACGAACAATACAAAGTCAATATATTCAACGGACGTATACTGCTTTCTGGTTGTTACGTGCTATTGTCCATCAGCGGCTACGAAGGCCAACGAACTTCAGACACCGGGACCTTTCTCCCGAGAGTCAAGGTACCTTTGTCCTACTTAAGACATACCTTAAAAGATTCGACGGCATCCCCTTTTTCTTTCAGCCGACATAAGATCCACTGGCCGACATTCAGAATTTCTACTTCTGCATTTCCTGCTGCACGCAGTTAAATTTACGTATCTACGCTTTCTGCATAGCCTTTTTATTTTAAAGTTTTATTTCGTCGAAATGCTTAATGATCACGCACGCATACTCACATAAATAAAAGAATAATTATCAATAATCACTACTGATAATGAAATTGACACAAGCAGTAAAATTATTAATAATGTATTAGAATCGTTAAATTGTATATCTCCAATTTTATGTTTATTTCTGTAACACTTTTTACGCATTTCTTTCTTTTTTGTAAATTATGGCATAAATATTTATTCAGTAAAAAGGAAATTTTATAAAATTTTGAAATGTTTATATCTTTAAATTTGAATATAACAATATAATAAAATTACTTATTGTTAAGGTATACACAATGTTTCACATGCATAATTCAATGCAAAATAATACCCTTAAATCAATTCGTGAAAATTCGAGATTAGACGAAATTTTTAAGCAAAATTGGAATTCCTCGACATTCTGTCATTACGATACCACCAGCCTGTAACGTTCGATAATCCTACATAGTACCGTTGCCGAAACCGGAAGAGATAAACGCTAAGTATTCAATGTCAATGCCACGAAATTGCCCGGGACCTTCGCTACGGAACGGGAAGCACCCGGTATGTGAGAACCAGCGCTTCTTCGGCAGACCTCGCGGTCGCCGTGAAATCGTAGCCAGCAGTTCATTCGAGCAGGAAACCGGATGCGAATGTATCTTTTTATATCCGCGATTCGGGCTTTTAAGCCGAGGTGGCTGCGAAAGAAAGCCACGGAGGGTCATTAAGCTCGCGCCAATTAGCCGTGCGCGGTTATCATCGTATAAATGTGTGATCGCAGCTGAGAAATGCAACAAAGACGCGAGTCCTATCTGCACGAGGATCTAACCCGAGCCCCTCGAGATCCAATTAAACAAATCGACTCGTCAGATCGTACCGCCGGGCACCACGAAGAAGAACTTGCCTGCTTAAGGAAGGCAAGATCGCTGCGCTTTACGAGCGCGCGCGCTCAAGGTTTATCCGCGAGTTAATTAAACCCGAGGAATACGTGTTACGTAATTACGTGTACGCCGACTAGCGTCTTCCGGTTTGCGGTGGAAACACCGTCTGTTTTGTCACACATAATTGTCACGATCGACGTGGCGTGAAACGAGATTATCCGGTTCCAATGGAATTATAGTATAGCGTCAAGGTCTAAGCTCGTTGAAAATTATAACCGACTTTAATCTGTTGGCTCACGATCAGTCTCAAAATAACAGAGGTCATTATATGTGTGTAACGCATGTGTATATGTATCTCAAAATCCCACTTAAACCGGTCTTCTAACTCGTACTTGACCAATTGTTCAAACTCAAGGTATCTTTCTTTTCATTTTAAAACTGGTTAATATTTACACATATACATTTATATACGTGTATATGACGTATCCCTTTTACTAATGTCGAGCGTGATTTAAACGGTCAAAATCATCTTTTGGCCAAATCTCAATTCCCCGTCACGAAGACGTTCTATTACTCAATCTGCTTATACAACGCCGCGATATACCGTTAGTCGATCAAAGTGGAAAAAAAATGGAAAAAATGTCTAACAGCGTACCGACCTTCAAACGGGTCTCAAGAGTCTGACGGACTTGGAAGTCGAAAGGTTTCGCGTGAAAGTCAAGGCCAGCCAGTTGCAAGTTGCACGCTTCATCACGTATAGACGGATTTTATTATTATTATTATTATTATTATTATTATTATTATTGCAATTTTACACGTGCGGATTTACAGGCACGTTCAGTGAAAGCGAATCGTCGATCACTTTTGCGAAAATTGTTCTGTCCGTTTACCTTTCTCGGGTGAATATTAACACGATTATAAACGGTTCCCCGTCGAGCGATTGCACGAAGAAGGTGCTCTCGATTGATACATGTTAAGAGAAATGACATACAATCGTTTGTAATGATGGCGTAAATTATGCCTTGATTGATAATTTGTAATTTCACTTCATGGTTTCGTTTTCTTGAAAGTGCGGAATTCGTGCAAGAGAATAATTGCATATTAGGAGAAATATGAGTGAAAGTCATCAAAAGCAATATTTTTCGAAAATATATAACATTTTTATAAAATATCAACAATCTTTTGGCCTAAAAGTTATATGCATTAAAATATTTACGATACGATAATATGTTTTCGCTCGTCTTGTAAATTGTACATAAAGATATCTTTTGAAATTTATTTAGCAAATCTATATTTTGATACGCTCAAATATAAATAGTATTAAAAATTTCGTACGTGTCTCAATTTTATGACGTTGATTAATGTTTCTGGATGAAATAAAGAATGCGCTTTTATAAAATCTGTATGAATATGTATTTCAAATGACAGTTTATTTATCATGTAATTTAGCAGAATTAAATTTTCTACAAATATTCATGAGTCTACTAAACGCTCATAATTATTAATGCCATTTTTCAAGAATATTCAATAGAAGAAATATGCTTGTAAAAGTTTTAAATCAAAAGGAGAGGGTTTTAAACATCGTCGAAAATTCCGCCTTGTATCTCCTTCAGATTGTTCTCGTAGATGTACAAGCTGGTGCCAAAGGCAGTATTAAGACCATGAAGAGCGCCGTTTTCCAGCTTCTGGAAGGGATTCTTGGATATGTCTAAAATATAAAGACTTCCTAAATTTTTGCAAGCGCCCTTACGAATCTCGGATATTTTATTTTCTGAGAGCCAGAGACGCCTTAACCGATTCAAGCCTTCATAGCTATCACCCTCGATGGTCGTCAGAGTGTTGTTGTTCAAATACAGATCCCTCAGAGTAGGCAGGTTGAAGGCACCGCGCTGTATACTAGAGATTCTGTTTCCGGTCAAAGATAAAGTGGATGTCGGAGTTTGAACGAAATTACCCTCCTCGAGAATATCGATGTCATTATAATCGAGATGCAGGGAGTCGACGGATTGCGCTAGATCAGTAAATGTGGCCTTGGCTATCTTGTTATTGGCAAGATTCAATTGCTTCAGACCAGTCAACTCGGCAAGGGTGCCCTTTCGCAGATCACGTATAGAATTGTGGCGAAGGTCGAGCGTGTGCAGCGTCGTCAAGCCTCTGAAAGCTCTCGGTTCGATCGTCTTCATATCATTCCTTGCCAGTGTTAATGATAGCAAGGACTCTAAACCTTGGAAGACATCGTTCTTCAATTCTTCGATTTTGTTATCGTCTAGATATAAGTAGTTCAAACGGAGGAGCTTGGAGAACGCACCGTCGGGGATAGAGATTATGTGATTTTCGTTCGCCAGAAACACGGTCAGGGTATCCGGCAGACTGGAAACGAAGTTCAGATTCTCCAGCTTATTACCAGTGAGATACAATTCGCGTAGATTCGTCTTCGTGAACGCGCTCTCTTCGATATCCTCGATCAAATTGTTCCTCAAGTTGAGCACACGCAGGTGATCGTTTTCAATCACCTGACTCCAGATCCTGCCTATCTTATTCCCCTGGAAGTTTACATATGTCAGACTGGACGGCAGATTATTCAGTGTTTCCTTCGTGATCTCGGTGATTTCATTATTCGACAGATCCAACGAAGCGATCGGCAGAGATTGCAGTCGATACCAATCTTCCTGGAAGCCCTTGATGCCCAGCTCGACGAGACTTACTTGCAGCGCGCTATCGACTGGCACTTGAACGCATCCGTCAGCGAGTTCCTCGTCCTTCAGAAGAATCTTCAATGATGTCACGATACCATCGGACTTGCAGATTTTCAATCGAGTGTGCTCGCTAAGAGTTTCAACGCTCTTTTGATCCTCAGCTGGCTTCGTCGTGGCTACCTCAGTCTTGTCGACTTTCTGCTCCTTCACTTCGTGCTCCTTTTCCTGATCGTGCATCGCCGCCAGTCGCTTTACCTCCTCGGTATCTTTAAGGAAAGAATTAGCAAATGCGCCTGTGCTGATGCTCCAGAGAATATTTCCATCGGTGAGAATTTTCACGGACTTGGTGAGACCAAACAGGTGGCCTCTTCCAAAGTGTCTGATAGGGTTTCGAGAGATATTCAACAGCTGCAGATTTTCCAAGCCGATAAACAGATTTCGGACATTCGATATTTGATTGTTCGATAACGATAGGCTCTTCAATTTTGTCAGATTGGAGAAGACAAAGTCCGGCAGAGAAGTTAACGAATTGTTGGCAAGTACGAGAGACTCCACGTCAAGTACATTGTCGAAGGCATTTTTCTCCAGTGCGTGAAGACCCGGAAGGCCCGATAAATTCAATTTCGTACGATCGGAATTTCCGACGAAACGAACATCTTTCAGGACGCCGTTATCGATGTTTACGATTAAATTCTTTGATGTTTCTGTTTCACTGATGTTTCCAACTTCTACAGGTATGCTTGCCGCTAGAGGTAGCAAACATATGATGAGAGACAGCATCGTCCTAAAAACAACTAATAAATTTTTTTCTACAAACTGAAAATTCTCACGTTTTAATACTATTAGATATTAATTCATGTTTACAATGTCAATAACTTAATAATAATGGTAACTGAATCATACAAATTCTAAAAATGATACATATGTTGTTAATATTAATATTTTAATAGAGCATATATATATATATTAGTGATAATTTACGCACGCACAAAGAGTAGATAAAGATAATTCAAGTGTTACCTTTGCAATTTCATTATTTTCAAATCTTTTTTTATCTTTTTTCAGAATAAACGGAAGCTATATGATAATTAAAAAGTATTCAGTACTCGTTAAATATATTAGCTTTAGTTTTATCCTGTTATAATCACGATAATATGTGAGAAACTTCAAGACGTTGATTAGGACTCCACACTGATAGCCCAAGAAATTCTACGGTAGACTCATCAAAGAATCCCACGGTTCTCTTGGGACTATTTTGCGACACTCCTCATGATAGACGACTCTCGCGTACGATCATAATTACAACGATCGTGATAAACGACGCCTCAGATTATTCTCCGAAACTTATGTCAGATGTTAAAGAAAACCGGTTGCGCGACTCGGGATGCATAAATTACATAATTCGTGATATTTTCCGATAATTTCCGGAAGAGCAAGCATTCCAATGACGTCGATAAGCAATTCCCGACATTACTAATACAAATTACAATTTTGCAAGAATGTTACCAATCCATCAAGATTACAAGATTCAAGTTATAGCGAAGTTATAGCGTACAAAAAATTGAAGCGCGAAAATAGATCATCTTCTTCAAGGTTTATTTTAAACACATAAAATCGTGTTAACACTTAAAGCTCATTATAAACTTGAAATTACATTAGGGATCTATTTTAAATACAAAATTACACTCTAAAGTGACCTCTATATAAATTGCGGACACTCCGTTTTTACTCTTTAAACTCTTCGTGCAACAGTCGCCGTTGTTCTTTTTGTGGTTAATGCATCGTGGAAACTTCAGTTAACGTGAATCACGTCGTTATAGAACATTCGCGTAAGAACATGTTCCACTTACCGATCAATCGGCTAAGCCACAGAAAGCCACGGAAGTTTCGCTGAAGATTCCTCCTGTGCCTTCGGACGCAGACAGACAAAGACTGCCTGCGTTTCTATTCCTGGCGGACAACGCGTGGCGAGATTCCTCAGGACGAGGTAATCACGAAAACAGGTCTTGCAAGGCCTTTATAGTCGAATCTCGTGCGTGTACAGATTCCTAGATGCGTATGTAAAAGACGGGCGTCCTCAGTAGGCGATCCTGTGCCAAAAAAAGAGGATAGATATCCTTACCTGGAATCGCCCACGGCAATTTGCTTTTTAAGCCCGTCAACACCCGAGTCCTACGATGTATTCGCTGTCGAGAATCGAAGAAGAAAATAACAGGCACGAGCCGTATAGTACGATCCTACCCGAATTAAATCACTTCGTCACGCGTTAATCGACGTCGAGGATTTCTCGGGGAATTAGAATTCGGTTTTGTGAATAGCCCAATCATTGTTGTTAGCGCGTGCCATGTCGAACAATTCTTTTTATGTCTGTCGTCTCTTCAACAAATCATCAACATCCGGGAATATTTTTTGCTTAAAAATCGTGAACCAAGAGCGCTGTGTTACGTCGCTCCAGTCAATTATCACGCGACAAGAAACATCGAGTCTGTTTTTGATTCAGAGTTTTGTACTCAGATAAACAATTTAACATAGAAATAAAAGTCGAGTTATGCATTAATTAAATTTAATACACTAAAATTTGATGGCTATTTTATTTAATGTCCCAGGTGAAAGATTCCATCTTATTTTAATTTTACATGGAAAAGGATTCGCTGATTGTATTCAGTACATTATAAATACATTATGTATTAATATCGCTGCAAATAATGATGATAATAATATCGAGTGTTCGCCGGTAGCATTAGAATACAATAATGCACTGGTATACGATCTTAATCGAAGATTCGATGAAGCACGACCGCGATCGCTGAACCGCTGAACCGCGACTGACAAAGGAATCAATAAAGTGTTTTAAATCTAATTGATCTAAAAACCATCAAAAATCAATAGCGATTAATTAACAATAATTTAACAAATATTAAATTTAATTAAAATAATTAGAGTCTTGGCATTTTTTAAAACCATATTTAAATGCTTCTTTAAAACCGGTTTTACGAATTCTTAATTTCTTCTAATTCTTTTTAACAAGATATATTATATTTATTTATGAGTACGAGATTTTAAGTCACAAAACCGTAAAGGATTATGAAATATTGAAATTTACTGTTGCGTGCACATTTAAGACGCATAATATTTCCTCTGCGAATATGTTAGATAATATATTTATCTAACTCCATATATATGCGCGCATTTCCCTATACTTTATGCACGCGTACACGACATTTCTCTCAAGATGAATGAAGCTCCCGTGCACAAATTGCCACATATCACGTGAGAGATTTAGTTTCCAAAGGTGGCATTCTTGGAAATGCATCAAGCTCGATGATGCTTGATAAAGGAGGCTTGTGTGCCATTCGATGAACCAAATACCACTAAACTGGCTACCGGCTGATCCGGTATTTCGCGCGAACGCACATCGAGAGCTCGCGACGCGACGTCGCAGCGTCGTAAAGTTCGATCGGCGGCGGCGCGACCGGTTCGATCTCCCACACATCACGCTTCACGCTTTCCCACAGAACGCGTTCTCGCGCGAGATAAATTTTACCTGCTTAGCCGAACGATGGAGAGCTCTGCGCCGCTAATTTCTAATGTTCGTGATCATGAGACGGGAAGGAGAGGGCCCTTTTGCCTCTCGCGGCACAACCAGCCGCCAGGAGGTCGTCGTACTTCCGGAAACTAGCTCGTACCTTCCGCTGTGAGAACCACTGGATTCGTTGGATCATGGTTATTACGCGAGTATAAGAGCGCGGCCGTTCGTATACCAACGCGCGGGTCCGTACTTCTCTCACGGTTCCATTCACAAAAAACCAGCCGGCCGATACGGCTCACGTGCGTTCAGTTAATTAAGTTTGCACACGTGTTGCTCACCGACAGTGTCGAAGGTTGAAGCGTTATCTCGCATACGTTAATCCGCGAGTGTAACCGCGCTCTCTGAGCGATCACGCATTACATTTTTTTCCCGTATGCCATTACTTCGAGGTGCCTTCTTCGGAGTAAGAATACTCGTTTCCGCAACGATTCGGCCTTGAACTTGTCTTTGCAGAATAAAGCCGCTACCATTTCATTCCAGTCACAGAAAAAAAAAATACCACTTAGATACGGAAATAATAAATTCTGCAATAGAAGCTCTAAGATATATAAAAAATATAATTATGTACAAAGCATCATCTTATAATGCTACATTTTTTCTAAATATTTCTTTTAATCTATAATTTCAGCTTTTATTACATATTTTTCGATATTATTCATCATACATTTTCTAGTCGACGTAACATTTGCCAAGATTTATCACGTCGTTCATGAATATTATTCTGCCTAAATATTCAATCAAATCGTATAATGATAGAGATTTCTTATATCCGTTATAATCACAAATTACAATAACGGATGTAAGAAGAGAAAATTTCTCAACGCCTGCAGTTTCAGGCACCGATTATCTAGCGCATAATCGCGATGAGATGTGTTATTTCCAATTTATTCCTATAAGAAGAAACATAGTTCTTAATTTTCGAAATTAATATTCCACGGATCACGAAACCTAAAGGTGTCAGCGTATCCTCGCGCAAATTGCGCCTGACGCTAATTAACCGCATGTAAATTTATGTTAATCTTCGCTTCGAGCTGAATAAATTAGGTAAAATGTATAAAGATCCCTACAATTTTCTTTATTAATATGAACAGAATAATATAAATGATAAGAAAGATAGGAAAAATTCTTCCTGTCCTGGGATTATTCCGATATAATGGTGTCAAATAATTAGCATCCTTAATCTCGGCCATGCTGTGATAAAATAGGTGACAGGGCATAATAATTACATTAATAATACAAATCTTATCGGTTTTATATTAATAAACGACATTTTTAGATGACAAAATTGTTCTTGTTCGCTTCTAAAATAATTTTGCAACAGCACGTACATAAGTCACATACACAATATACGTTGCGCAATGCAATTTTCATTTGGAAAGTAGTAAAATCTCCGCAAATAAAAAAACACTCCGAGATTTGAAAGATATACAATGAGTCAAACATGCAAAGGTGTGACGAGTTAATCTCCTTTTCAGGATTCTTTATCGGAAAATATGAGAACTGTAAAGTTGCGTATAGCACTTCCCAACAATTATCGGTCGAATAATTATGCATGAGGCGCCAAGTCATAATACCTAATTGAATTGTACGCAACGGCGTACAATTGAACCAAAGTAATAATATCATACATGCGAATGCCGGCCTTGCATTGTTGCCTAGGTGTGCGCGGTAATGTAAAAGAACAGCGTGCCATTGTTTCGAAGATTTCTTTGATTGCAATCTCATTCGATATTGATGCGGCCGTACTAATCGCTTGAATACGAAATTCTATGCAGTTTCTAAGGGTTCTAATTCTTTTCCTGCCATTGTAATTTATTAAAAACAGGAAATAAAGTGAGAGCTCAAAGGTATTGAGCATGCAAAGTGTGAGGATATGAAAATATGAATATATTACAGACTGATTTTTTTTTATATAGAAACTTTTGCGTGTTTCCGTTACTCAAATCGACTGGAAACTTTATACAAAAATTTTCTTCATTAAAGAAATACAACTAATTAATACTCATTTATTTAAAATAGAAGTAAAATGCGCTGATTATATTTTGTTTTCATCTTTACTAATTTTTACACAAAGTCAGTATTATGTAGAAACATTGATATTATCTAATAATACCAATGTACATACAACAAATATATCATAAACTACACTCTTACTCTTTTACTAGAAAGACAGTATTTTTTCTATAAATAAATAATTTGCATTTGTACATTTTTTTCTGAAATAAAAGCGATGATTACATCTTGATATAATCATGTCATTTAATTAAAAATAATAATTTTAGTTCAGATTATTTTATTTTTGTTCTAACAGAATTAATAGAGCATCAATTCCATAAACTCATCTCTTTATGTTTATGTTTATAGTTAATCTTAGAGCTATAGACCTCGAAAAAAAGCTGAATATATAAAATATAAGATAATTCTATGATAACCTTATTGATAAGGAGTAATTACAAAATTACCTTGAACAAGATGACGTTATATTAATTATTGTAGTATTGCAGCTTAGTTTCAAGTTAATCATTAAATTCTTTTCTGCTTTATATTTTCGGATATTGACTATTTTGTAATATTTATTATATATTTATCATGCTACACTCAATGCGGATATCAAAAAAAATATATAAAAAATAGACTACGTGCGACAACATGCATTTTCGTGGTACAAGCTCTTAAGTTTTCAAATATTACGAAACAAATTACATCTCATATTCTAAATGCATACTCATGTACTTTTATGACGTCTGCAAAAGCATAATGTTCGTATTATAAAGAAGCTAATATTTAATTTCCATTTTTAAGAATTATCAATATTAGTTTTGGAGATTTCTTTATATTATTGACGTATCTTTTTATACGATTTTTTTAAGTTCAAACAATCTGTCGGCTCGAGTTTAATTTAAAAGAACGCGGAAGAGAATCCGCGTACATAATTTTTCTCAAAAAGATTCTTGTCTCTTTTTTTCTTCTTCTTTATTATATTTACTAATTTGATAATCAGTGCGATTCGACGTATACATTAACATTTTATAAGATCTTCGATCATTAAATTATTGGCTTTAATGGAATGCAATTCGGTTTGTGTTACTTTCATGAGAATTTCTATCCGATCGCTATGGCTAATAAATGCAGCAGCGGGCACTAAATCATCGCTTGGAAGAGTGCGTGTCTCATTAAATGTAGCTAATGCGCGTAATATATGTGTACCGATAGGAAACTCATTTTATTGACTCGTTTAAAACTGTTATGATAAATTTGACCGCGACCATCTGGAAGCCTGTGCCGCTGCATTTAAATTTCTTCCGCTTTAGAATATCATTACCTTAAAATTATTCCTGCGTTACGTTACGTCTTCGTACATGGCATGTAGTTAATAAACATTAACTATTAGTGGCTAATGTTTATTAATAAATTTTTGCATTAAGAAAAAATGTTCAACATCATTATTAGTTAAAATGTTTCTTAAAACTTAAAATGATTCATGCAAGTTGCTATATAAGGATTAATATTAAGATTTACATTTAACATCCAGCCAACGTGAATTTATGGCACTTTATTTAAAATTTATATTATTTTTTTAAATTAACTCTTATCTCTCTCTTCTCTCTTTGCCGCGTTTTATCCAACAGTTGAAAGTGCAAAACAAAAATGTGTAATCGTGTCTTTTCCTATAAAATTTATATTTACTAGCACTACAGGCGCGCGCTTCGCGCGCGCTATTTAACGCTTCTTACTATAATTACACATCAACCTCAATACACACAACTGTCAAAATGCAATGACAGCCGCTTACACGAAGTAAGCACAGCGAGACAACCAATTGGCATCGCGGAAAAGCGACGACAATAAATTTCGAGAAATGCGAGTAATCGGCTTTAAATGCACTTTTTTAGATAGGATTTTTTCTCAATTTTAATTTGTCCGTTGAATTATTTTATCCGCATTAATTTATATGGATCAAATCTACAAAGGATCTACATATTTGAGAAAAACATTACAAAAAACAGTTTATTTCAGATTCTTTCTATAACGTGCAAGTTTATATTAATTTTATAACAAAAAAAAACAAAAAAAGTAATAGATATGTGAAAAATACGTTGTTCGGTTTCAAAGAGAGACTTAACTTTAACTTAAAAATTTAAACTGAAATTGTGCTCTAAAATAACTTCTTATCTTTATCATATCTTATGCAGTCTCTTGCGCAAAAACAGATATGCATAGTACTGCTGTACATACATATATAGAATTTAAGCTTTATTATGTGTTCACGTTTCGAAAAGAGGACGCTTGCAAGAGTCAGTGGTTAAAAGTCCGATCACCTTAATTTAATCCCGAAAACCGAACGCTTCTTCCCTTCACTTGACGCGCAGTGGAAGCGGCTCCGGAACCGGGGGGTGGGGGGAGGGGACCCAGTGGGATGGCAGGCACGGCGAATGTGGAGTAGAATCGCGGCATTACGTGCCACCGAGTAACGGAGCGCGGACGCGGAATAGAGCGTATCGCGTGTCGTCTCCGTATTTCGCGTCCACGCGGCACCGAGGCTCCGAAACCGAGGCGAAGAAAAGCGGCAGTCGCGTGTCGACCAGCGGACAGGCCGGTGCAACGTCGAGCGACGAGCGCGGATGCCTCTCATCCTTCTGCATCATCTCACGAGCGCGCGGCTGCACGTTCGTCGAGAGACCGATGACTGAAAAAATCCGCGGAGACGGCCGCCGCACGCGCGTTTCGACACCCGGAATCCGCATGAATCTCCGATCCCCGGCGCCGCCGTTCGATTCGAACGAAATTTCATTCGATGGGTCCACGATGTCGTAAAGTTGCTCTCAGAGGCGCGCTGAACAAGATCGATCGGCTCGCCGATCGAGGATGTTGACCTGGTAGCGGGTGTTGATCGACAGGAAAATCGCTCGCTTGCGGGAATCCAACGGCTGACGTTCGCGTGCAGCTGTCGGCGAGCGTTAACGTTCAACATCGATAAACGTTTTTTCGACCGTTGTCGTCGTCGTCGTCGTCGTCGTCGTCATTCAGCAGTGATTCAGTGAATGGACTTTATGAGTGACCGTTTTCAAAGCTCGCGGGCAGCATCCGCTGAAAAAAGACACGAGTGCTCGGTGACGACAGATCATCCTCCGATGGATCGTACGTGACCAACGCAAACTCGTGGGATATCGTTCGATCGTCGCCAAGAAGAATATCCTGTAAAAAAAAGGCCGGATTTCGAAAGGAGTGGCAGGATGCCGAAGGAGAACATGTGGCGGCAGAGGAGAGTGCCCGTTCCCAAGAGGTAAGGAGGCTATCTCGCGGGACGCGATTAACCGCGGCGTTAAAGGCGCCTAATTACGCGCGTGCGATTAACATCTTCTACGATGTCATCAATATTTATCTGCGCGTAGAGCATGAGAGTGCACGAAGGGATACCGTATCTCGCCGGGGTATCCTCTATAACGAGCCGAGGTATTTAACCGTTAAGCATGCTGGTGACTCAATCTAGCCAACGATCATCCACCTTCTCGCCGGTCGAGCGCGCCGCTTTTCTATGATTTTAATCTTCTTCCCGTAACACTCGATTTTAAGACTGTACTGTACTGACTGTGCTGCACGTAAAAGTATTTAAGTAAATTAACAAAACGTAAAGAATATCATCTTTCTTCTATTTTCTAATTCATTACAAAAGCACAAGTTTTTTTTTTAACAATAGATATATAATTACTTTTTGATGGGCAATTATAACATATTTAAAAATTATACATTTGAGAGAGGGAGACAGAGATAGGCAGGGGGGGGGGGAGAAAGGAAAAAAAGAGAAGAGAGTTTAAAGGAATATTATTGAATTTTTAAATCGTTCTACACACAATCTTTCTCTCAAAGATGGGACATTGACCCCGTTAACGAATAAAATGGAGAAGAAAGTAAGAATATAAAATAGGATATAAATTTCAGACAGTAAGTTATGTGATTCTGATATCTTTCAGAAAAGACATGTGAATTTCGTATAAGCGATGATCATTTAATTTATGCATCGCTGAATTGCATATAAGATTTAAAAAAATATACATATAAGCATAATGGACGTAAACTAGAAACCAAATGATTAGTTTTACAAATCGCATCTATAACGAATATCTCGCATTCTTATCTTTATTTCCAGGAATAAAATGTAATTACATTATTAATATTACATTAGTATTCACCTAATTTAAGTGCGTTAGCCTTAATTATATTAGTGCAATGCGGAGTATTTTACTACCGTAATTTTAGCGTAAATTTATAATTGTTGCTATTGCTTTAAATATTATACGAGATATAAATTTGCGTTTCCCTTAAAAAAGTGTCCAAAAAATTAATTTTGAAAAAATATATTTTGAACGAAAAAATGATTGAACTTTCCTATACTACCAATAACGGACTATCCTAGATAAGTCGTACTTACTTTGTCACAGAAAATGCGAGAAAGTTGGTGACAGCAAGAAATACTTTATTTTAACATTCCGACGTTCTTTTATCAGTCATAAAAACGCTACACGATGGACGGTCGTGACGTAAGCGATCATGACTTTACTTAAGATTCTATTTCGCCTCATGAATATGTCATTACTTTAGGAAATATAAAGTTAACAGCGAAAAATGCATATACCACCAAACATTGCCAATCGCGTTCAGACATGCACGTCGTCGGGATCAGGTCGAGATAACGAGTTAAAGGGGATTCTCGCGATGAGCTAGGCATGTGACAAATCGATTCATCACGGTAGAATAATGCGGACCGCGCGAGAGAATCGTGAGTGGTCGATTCCCGGGTGCTCCATGTCCTATGCAAATGCATGGTTTGTCGGCCTGCGATTTCTTCGTGCGATTGACCCCCTCAAGCGCGCGTGAAGTCATAAGTCACAAACGAAGTTGGTGGTCTACATAGAATGCGGTAAATAGGACTCCTTTGATAGCTCTAGAAGTGACACTTTGTGCCACTACTTTCAATATTTATCAACTGACTTTGTAATAAAGAATTTAATTAAATTTATTAAATTTATAATTATATTAGATAAAATAGAAATTAATATATATAGAAAATGGTAGTGATTTGAAATTAATTAATTGAGAAACAAGATCGTCTTATCTATTTATACAAGATTATAGATAATTTACAATATTGTTTAGAATTATATAATTTTTTATCACGGACTTTTTTGCGGGATATCTATAACGCGTGCAATGCGACAATTTCAATTTTTTATCAAATTCTACGAAATTTACCAAAGAAACATATTCCACTTCAATAAACGTTAAAAAATTTCTTATCTTCTAATTTCACATTTTTTGTTTAGTGCAATCGATGAGACATGACCTTTTTCGAATGATCAAACAAGTTGCCCATGAATTGTAAATTTGCTATGAATTGTAAATTTTGCAATTTACACTAGGAATTATCATGCATACGCGATAAACACCGTCATTCCGCATCCCTCATTTATCTCATGTTAATACAGTTGATAATTACGAATTCTGCTAGGTGAGTGATGAACCATCGTGACGTTTGCAAGAATGCAGGTCCATTTGTCTCGTTTCTGCGGCTCGTCCCGCGTGATGAATTTTGCTGCCGGAGCGAGAAAACCCCGCGTATTCGCGATAATGAATCTCCACCATCTATAAATAAAAGTTATGAGGCCCGTTGCGTAAATGAGGCAAGCAACAGAGGCATCGAAGTGCGTGATGCGGGATTGCGGGGAGGTGTCACACTGCTGTATAAAATGGAGTAAGGGTTCCTGGATGGCCTCCTCGCGTATCAAAACTATCATTATCGGCCGCTTCTCTCGCCACGTGGAATCCCGTCTGCACGCACTTCCGACTTCTCCGTGACGATATCAAGCGCGTTCACCGCGAACGCACTTGAGCGGGTACAACGCAATTAAGAGTGACTATGATAATGCGCGTTAAGTGGCCGTATAGGAGATTACCTGCGCCATTCAAGAATATTTCCATTATGGAGAAACAGCCTCTCCCGTATCAGCAGATAGATAGCAAGCTGTATGTCAAGCATAAAATCTGATTTAATAAAGTATATGCATAATGTCAGAGGGCATGTCTGTTTAAGTATAGAAAAAATCGCGAATTAACATGGGTCGGACGTACGTGCGCGCGTATAATTTCTTACCTATTAACTCTGAATATATGTGCAGATGCAGAAGTTTTTCCGCGCAACGCGAGGAGAATCTTCGTTTGAGAGATATCACAGTTGATCGGGACATCCGGTACGTATTTACCAACAAAAGTGCCGGAGAACTCGTTCAACTGGATTGAGATAACGTGCCCCGTAAATAAAAAACTTAATTGAAAACGCATATGTAAATGGAACGATCCGCGCGCGTATGTTTAACTGTTTCTACGTCGTTAAGCATGGTAATGAAGAAAAAAAAAAATTAACGACAAAGTTTTATAAATGCACGGAAAGAACAATTTTGCTGAATCCAGATCTGTAAATAATTTTTGTTCAATAGTCAAAATTATTTTGTGCGAAAGTCAAAATGATTGCTAGAATATCAAAACGTTTTCTAGCAATACAGATCGGAAGAGCACACGT